TTCTGTACCACTCACTAACATACACATAATATTTTCAGGGATGGTGATGGAAAACATGGATGAAATATATTGTGATAGACGTTGCATTCAAGTGAGAGATGTAAATCAGGAGTTCAGGTCAAGGCCCTATTAGAGAGCACCAACATGATGGCACATAGGTAGCAGTTCATCTTTTAGGCAAAGATAAAATCTCAATCTGTTACTATAAAGAATATTTTGAGAGTGATGACAACTATATACACTACTATGCAAATATACCTGATGATTTTGTGACCACCAATAATCACATTTATGGGTCATTATTAAGGATATAAACACTACTCATATAATAAAAATAACCAATTTGTTCTAAAAAGGTGGTGCTATATCTTTGAATAGTAGAAATCATAACAATAGACATAATATTTGTCAAAAATTGTGTATTATTATCATGTTTCTTGTATGTCCTGTATACTCCTTTGTCATCATTAGGTAGCCCCTCAACCAGTACAGCCCCCTTCAACCGTGACAGCACCAGTAAGTTCTCAAATTGATATTCACATTCTATTGACTGGGTACCAATATAGAAGATGATATAATCACTGAAGCGCTTGGTATCTTGCAAGCGAAGCTGGAGATGAAGATGGATGAAAATTTGTCTTGTTTAGCAGTCCTTGGAGAAACTAACATGATTTTTGTGGGCCACATCACTGAAATCGCCAATGAAACAAAACAGGCTGCAGAACAGGCTGCAGAGGAGGCCAAGAAGGCTGCAAGAGAGGCAAAAGAGGCGGCTGAAGTGAACAATACTGAAGTCCGGTCTCAGACACAGGAAGTCAAGGTGCAAATCCAGGAAGTGAAGCATCAGATCGACGCGGGCAGGAGTATGTTAGGATTAAGGATATTCAAACATTATATTGAAGAATATAGGAAAAGTTTTATTAGACAAATTAACCTAGTACTCAGCAAGTGAAGTTGTTATAATTGTTAAGTTGTAATAACTAACTACACCATTCACAGACACTTGTCTTACTCATGGTTAGTGGAGGAAATAATGAAACTATGAGCAACTAAGTATCTAGCTTTCTTCGTGTTCTTAGTGCACTTCAATGCCATAAGTAAAAATAATTACATAACAAGTACAACAGTGAAAATTTCTCAATGTTTGGTGAGGCATGGAACATGGAGACATGCATGCATGTACTTACTTTTTTTATCACTGGTGAAATAGAACAGTATTGCTTATAGAGGTTATACCAATGTACTTATTATTTTCACAGTTGGATCTCAACATATTGCAGGTTGGGTCCTGAAATTGTGAACATTCAAGAACAAAACCAAAAATTGCAGAAGTATCTACAACATTTTTAGCTACTATTGCTACAAATATATCATCTTGTATGAATTCCACAAGATCCACCAAAATTTTGATGCAAAAAGCTTATAGTAAAGTGTGGTGTGTGACAAACATACCACTATAAATGTCAATGCCACTATATAACTGTAATCAAGGGAGGGGTGGTGTAATTTGTGTGCACTACTAATTTGCTTGAATTCACCACCACCAAAAACTGTGCTCAATTTGAAGGTGAAAGAGAGATAGATGCTTGATTCAGTCCTGAAAATTTATCTGCTTATAGGGGCAGCCAGATCTATTATTGGCTACCTGCATCGGTGCCACTTATCATAATGGTAATACTACAGAATAGAGTTGTGAATCTCTTCCTCAAAGCCACACATATACCATAGTCATAATTCTCCCAGAATAATCTAATAACTCATTGACAAATCAGATATGTACCAGTGAATGATATGCAACCACAACAACCTCATGCACAACCACTTACAGCAGAGGAATGAGCAGCATTACATTCCTGTGCTGTAGAATTAATACACTATGTAGACATGGTAGCAGGACAGTGCATGTAAAGAATAATGAAAGAAATGGATCCAGAATATTTGCTTGCACAAGATACCCAAAGCAGTACTTTTTCCACAACAATACTAGTCAGATATGTCCATGTGCCCCAATCTCAGTGTTCAAAGATAAGATGGCTGGATTCTTCTGTTGAGCCTCTATTGCATAAGTAGCAATAAGATATATTAAAAAATTTGAGAATGTAGTTACCACTGATATAATTTTTGACGTCCACCATTTTAAAATAGGGGCTTGCTTCTGCTTTCAATAGCGTAGGAACTGAAGTCCATGCACACAACATGACTGTAGCAAAAATGGCCTGATGCAGGTCCTTGGACATTCCTTTAGTAATCTTTATGAAGTGTTAGACAAGTCAACTTCAAGTTTTGAGCATGATATTTGACTTACAGGGTGCCAGGAAAAAATGGATGATTTGCTGCCTAGGAGGTGGAGCAAGAGCACAGAGACCATGTCCTTCAACATGGTCGAGAAGTCATTCTTGAAGAATGATTGAAGAGCGCTGGAGGTGGTTTTCTTGACCAAATTGCCAATGGACTCTAGGGTGGTTCCATTGGCCACTAATCGCCCAACCATCTGTGCTTGCATATGCTGTTATATTAGAAAGTCGAGGTACTGCCCCTTGAGCTACAGTATAGTGGCTATGGTCCATGGCAGTGCAGTGGTCGGCAGACTTGGAGAGGATGTTGTCAGTTTCATCATAAGAATGGTCTGCGGGTATGAATTCCCGTCCCATGGTGATCATGCCTTGACAGATATATCTCAATCCTCATCGATAGTTGAAGTATTCTAGATTCCAATGTTGGATGTTGTCGGAAAACTTTGCAGCAGTGATTCTCTGGCCTTCAGCCACACAGAAATACCTGAAATACAGGACATTTAATGAGAATGATGTTTGTGCAATAATTCAAAGGTTGAGGGGCCACTCACGTTCTGTACAGACACTCTGACTCCTTCTGATATGCAACCCTAGCCAGGATGGCTTCATTGGTTCATAAGCCACCTCCCAGCATTTCGAGGACCCAGAAAGCAAATGTCCTTTGGCACGAAGCCAGGAGTGCATGAGTCTCTATCTGTGATGCCCGTCTTCTTACTATAGACAGTGAGCACAAACATCTCCTTGCCTCCCATGAAGAGATTACAATGCCTATTGGCATTGCTGATCTGATGGTCAACGAACTGAGTTCCTCAACACGAGATGTGAGTGACTATAAAGAGCAAGTGGTATGAAGGCTCCCAGACTCACAATGAGTGTCTGAGGAATTCCTTGATTCCCAGAATGTTCCAAGCTATCCTACCTTTGTTGTCAACCATAGCGAGGTTGTGAGACTGCACCAAGAAGAAGAAGAGAGAATGATGCTTCTCGTAAAATGGCTCCTTGGGCATGAAGGAATAACCTGCCTGGGTGTACTGTGAGGTTCCAATACTGCAATTAAACACAAGCCCAAGTCACACAAGATGGCAGAAAGTCCTGAGAGAGACTCCCTGAGAGGAGCTGTCCAATAGTGTTCCAAGATTAGGCATGGTAGATGGAGTCATATGGCCAGCCAGTGGTCATGGATGGTAGCGCACACAAGAGGCCCTCACAGAATCATAACCATTGTTGACAATCCCATTGCTCAAGCTAGTGATGACGGTGGACCTTTGGATTGTGATCTTCACCAGTGATAGACGGTGATTGAATGTGAACAGATACAATGAGATACTGGGCTCGGTCTATGAGTAGTTTATGATAACACCTAAGGTCATCAGGTTTTTCAGCAAAGCAATGGCTTTCATTGCCGTAGGATTGATGAGAGGGATTATTAGAAGTCGGAGTGTTGCAATTTGGTCGATAGTTTGAATGAATTGCTGCATTTTTACGGGATGATCGACATACTGAAGTGTCTGAAGTGGTGGGGATGTAGTGATGAAACCATTGTGCAGAAAGAGGGGGGATATGAGCTAAAAGATTGTTGTTTGGATAAACTAAGCTTAAGCCAGTGTAGGTATGGAAGAAGCGGACTGGTCATGAACTGTACAACTCAGCCCAAATTGGCTGATTGATGTTTCATTGCCACCTCTAGATAGCTTTGCTTTCCTTACACATACAATACACATGTCTCATAAGTGCTATACATACAATAAACAAGAGCTTGTGGGTTTGTTGACCACTTAATCCAGCACTCACCCGCCAGACGGCTGCCAATGGGGTATTCAAATGAACAGTTGACTATGAGATGGCTCCCAAAAGAGGTGGGTGGGTGATGAGTGTTTTGCACAGATGCAGTCCTCAATGGGAATGCAAGCACTGTATGTGATTACAGATGGATGGCCCACATTGGGACCTGTCTCCACCTTTATTACAAGCACCATTCGCATTAGTGCCATCACAACTGGTTTATATAGTTAGCTAGCTTAGTTTATTACAGCACTTTGGATAGGTCCGGTTCCTTTGCAAGCTGTCTCATAGTCAAGTATTCATTGATCTGACTGGTCTGCAGACTGTGATCAAACCAGCATCACCACCATATATGAAATTTTAAACTCCTTGTTTCTCCTTCCAAATTTGTCCAAGTTAGACCAGTCTGGCTACTTGAAGCACTTAACAATCTCAAAGCCACAGTCACTAGGTTCACGGGAACTTTGTCAGCCCCCTTGTGCAGGTGTGAGATGTACACCCCATTGCACCTCACATGTTGGTATCTTAAGTCAGTAGGTCCTCCATTTCTATTTACTATTTCTGACAAGTACCACTAACTTTTTCATGATCCAGGAAATGGAAATCCCCCTTGCAAAGAGCTTCAAAACCCAGGGGTGGGACTTGAAAATGAGTGCCCTCCTGATGTCAAAGGCACATGGTAGTCACACTTAACGCCCCCTGCTCCAATATGGCCCCAACTCAGAGGTGAGTGTGCCTAGCCGGGCTACTATCGGCTTCCAAGAAGTTGACCCGCTGGAGCAGTCGCAAGCACTGGAAAATCTTGACAGTTGTGCTGGCAAAACCTCTGACCAGGACAGCAACACATTGATGATTTCAGCCCCCTCTTTTGATCCTGCTAGCCAACGGCCCTTCCATATCTCTCAAATGCAATTCTGAAGTGTGCTAAGTCCTCGCATGCTTGCTGCGGCGATCCTTAGACTTGGCCTTCGAGAGCTCAGACTTGGCCTTAGATGATGACTTGCTTGTCGCGGTAGCCATCAACTTGCTGCTGCTCACCACAGGTGTGGAAAGGGACTTGTAAGGGATGGTTGAGGTGCTCACACTGGCACGTGTACACTTGGACGAGCCACTACCATCACACTCCGATTCCGAAGGCGCATAAGACAAATCACGGATGCGCTTAGCGCTTCCGAAATGCATCTCATGCCAGTTGACTGAGCACAGATGGGCAGTTATGTCCACCACAGCCATGACTCTGAACATGCTGAGGGCCCAGTCAACGGGGAACGGTGGGATGACGAACTTGTCCAGAGCGGAATGATCAATGGCGGACTTAATGTCCAGGTCCTTCTGGAATTTGAGAAAAAGATCTCTCATGCTTTCCATTCCTCGGTTGAGCAACTTTGTAACATTGTCTGTGTGTATCTCCGGCAGCAAGGTCTGCAAAAACTTAGTTATACCAATGCGCATAATGATCGCAAGACAACTTACACCACGCGCTCTGTCCTCTGACTTTCCATTGCGCATATCAATTGGTTTATCTTCCTCTCCTTTTACCCAGATGAAATATACAACTGATTGAACATGACACCATTTGTGATCCCTGACTTTGATAGGATCTTTGAAACTCCATGCTGTCAAACACTTGGTCATGAATGCATTGAGAGATAAAGGTCTGGGTCCTTATCTTTGTTGTCAAGACGGTTGTGCAGCATCTCTGTCACGGTGGAGTTGAGGGGAGGGGAGGTGTAGCGATTGGCTTCGCATACATTGCATAGATCATAAGCCCATAGGCTTGATTCCTTCGCATTTATCACAGAGAGTATCTTTCAGTAGCAATCCCCTTGGGACAAGCATCCACACTCGCACTCATCCGGATCAGTAGTCTCTTCCTACGGACTACTCAAGTTTACTTTCTCACAGCAAACAGGCGAAAGTAGAATTCACCGAACAAACTGAAATCATGAGTGAATTCCAGGACAGGGTCCAGGAACTTGATAAACTCATAATTAGAAGCCAGACGCGAGAGGAAGAAGCTTGTAAGAGACTTGTGGAGGGTCACTGATCAACAATAACAAGTGTCCAAGACCCAGCACTAAGAACCATTAACTCTCAAGCTCAGCCGGTCTTTTGTCAGGAAAAATGGTTTTTGCCATACTACCACATATAGTACTATATGTGCATATGTCTCTACATGAATAATGTGCTTCTAAAGATAAAAAGTGCAAAAACCCTTTTTCCTGATGTTGATAAACCCAAGGCGAAAAGAGAGAAGCCTGAAGTGTTGAGCTCCAAATACCAACGAGCTTCATCTGTCCTACCCACTGGTAGCTCTATGAAATGAGCCATGGGATTTGACCTAAGACCAGATAGAGATCCAAGTGGATCAGATTCGTCTGAGTCATCTGAGGAAGACAACAAGCAGTCGTCCACTGAAATGAGCTAAGAAATAAGCTCCCTCGCAATAAGAAAGCCAAACCAAGAAAGTCAACAAACAAAGATAAATGTAAACAGGAGTAAACAAAACTTGAGCTTTCTGCCACTTTTGACTTCACTTGCCTCAAAATAGAGTAATTAGTCTAATGTGAAGCTTTTTGACTAGTATACCCTTATTTTGTTGAATATCAATGCATGATCTTTGTTACATGCATGACAGTGGTCTGTCACAAGTATGGTAATGAGAACAAGTGTTGGTTCTTGTTTCCTCATGAAGTTTTTGAACACTCAAACTTTGACACAGCCTCCAATTCCATCATTTTTAAGTGTCTAGATGGCAAAGTGAACTTTTCCAATCCCAAGATCCTTACATTTTGTCATCACAACCATGATTTAAAATGCATATTGTCTGGGAAGAGTGTGAAAGCGGCAGTGTTCGATATTTTAGATTACATCACGAAAACGGACATGAACACATACAAAATGTTCTCTCTTCTTTCACATGACATCTGCCATGTACCCATAGATCAGGCAGAGGCAAAAACACTCACAATACCCACCTGGGTGTCATGCGACGGCACACTCTTGTAGAAGATCACCCTCTTGCTGATACACATGTACTGCTGGAGCATACTTGTGAGGAACACGGTGTGTTTGCATTGGTGCATTTACAACTGTTTAGCTGCTGCAACCTTTTGACTCTGCCAAAGTAAGCAAGAACATGGCTAGGACAGCCAGTATCTGCCCAGGACGCACTGGAATCTTGATGCTGAGTTGGGGCACACAGAATTCACCACCCTCCCAATCTCCAACAGCAAACAGAAAGCCATAAACTGCCTTGTCATTATTACAGTCTATATGGGTCACACTTGATCCTACTTCTTTGGCCACAACATTGAAGAAGGGGCCACCCATGAATAGACTGTGCCAAGCACCATGATTATGAGTCAAAAGCTCCATCACACTTGTGTTTGCTCTAGAACAATCAAAAATGTGAGCAATTTGTTGTAGGATAATAATAATAACAGACATACTTTAACATACATACACTTCTACTGAATGGAAGCATGTTCCTTAAATGCTGTGCCAATTTTGTGAGTGATGTAACTTTTGAGGAATTGTAGTAAGTTATTGATGGTTTCTTTTGTCTTTTCAGATTGGCAATGAGATTCACATGACCTCCCACAGTCCAAAGTGATAGCTTTTGCTAGTGGATTAATTAGTGTTGTGCTTCAGCAAATGCTGGGGGTCAGTGGCCATGAGCTGGTCCCATCTAGACAGCAGCCAAACTTGCTAGGCATCAGTAAGGAAATGCTCGAGACAGACAATTAGGTAATGTGGAGTTTCTGATTGGATAGTGTCAGCAGGGAGGTAGTCGACAGGCAGTAGAAGATTCTGAGCAGGCAAGAGTGAGCATCTGCTCTGGTAGGCGTGTGTCGTAGAATTTTGTTCACATGACCTGTTAGACTCTCTTGCCGTTTTTTTTGTGCCAACAAGAAATCAGATGGGAATGCAGCAATCCTGTGGATGTCTTAATATAGCAGGTGATGTCTTGGATCACAGGATGACAGCACAACATTTACACAGAAGACTCGCCCATCATGATTATGCACACTCTACCATGGATATATTGTCTACCCGACTCAGGTTTGGGTCTCTCTATCCATTTCCCTGTTGTTTTCCTCATCTGAACTATTTTCTTCCATTCCACCACATGAATATTGCTGGTAGGAGTCTATTCCTGCCTTTTAGAGCCCATCATGTGCTAAAGCCAATGAATGGTATGTGATGATTAAAGTCAAGGGAGCCTGAGATCCCCCACTACTAAACCAGAATAAACTGTGATGTAAAATAGTCTCTCATGCCATCATTGAACACCCAAAATTAGGCCCCAATCAGTCTTTCAAAAGGTTTGTTTCATCAGGGAGATGTGATGCTGATATTAGAGTTTGCTATGCATATGTAACCTACAGTCATGTTTGCATACAGAGGCAATTAATACATAGTATGCTGATGACATGCTTTGTATGCCTGCTGCATATACCCCATCCATTACATTGTTGCAATGGGAAGTGAATGGGCCGCTTCTAGAGGCTCCTGAGTGACCAAAGATGATCAGGACTAGAGCCCAGAGTAAGTTGCCAAAGTATTGGAGTATAGTAAAGGTATACAGTACCTATAGTCCAGAGTAAGTTGCCAAAGAGGCAGGGAGCACTGGACTCTGGGATATGGGCGATATATGGTAAACAAATGTAAACAGGCAAGCCATAACACAAAGGTAAGGAATAACTCGACCTAGACAAGTCCTAGGGAGGTCAGGAAAGTGTATGAATGGTCAGGGAAATATAGGTAATGAATATGTACGTATAGAGACCATGAAAAGGATAGAAAAGTGTACTGTAGAGGTGAATAATCATATAACTAACATACATACCTGATATTAGGCTTTGATTAGTCTTGGAAAGGCTCAATTTGAACTGTGATATGTGATACTAATATTAGAGTTAGCCATGGATGCATCACATCCAGCCATGTCTGCACAAGAGGGTTGAGCAATGGCAGGTTGATGCATTATGTGGATGGTTATTATGAAGAGTACAATCTTAATTAGCTAGCACAAAGATATGACCAAAACAGCCTAGATATGACTGAAGTCAAAAACATTAGTCAAGATATGCCTGAAATCCAAAACATCGGCTGAGATATGACTGAAATCAAAAACATTGGTCAAGATCTTGGCCGTTTGAGGGATATCTTGGCCGATGTTTTGGATTTTGGGCATATCTTGACTGACATTTTCCATTTTGGCCATACCTTGACCGATGTTTGCCAGAGGATTAGATGCATGTGTACAGTCTATTCAAGAGAAGGATGTACAAATACCAGTGGCAGATATGTAACAGTAGATAATCAACTTTGCAATGCCAATGTGTCATGCATCACCACTGTACCCAAGCGCGGGAAGGAAATGGTGGAAATAATGTGATTGCCAAAACATACTTCATAAACTCTGTCGTCTGAGGCAATGAAGTATAAGTGGGTGAAGGAGGGGAACATCCAAGATTCTGGTATGGAGACTAGGGATCCATCACATCTCCTCTCAAGTAGTTCTAGGTCATTACTGGCAACATGAGCTCCATCTGGATTCAAAAATTCAACAATGTGAATCTGGTGCTCCTTCAACTCCATTAGTCTGCCAATTATTTGGGAGGAGATGAGAAACATTTTCGCAGATTCGTTATCTGGTAAGGGGTTCTGTGGGCGAGTCAGCATTCAGTGGTATCAAGGTTTTCATATAATTACTGTGATACTTGTGTGACGGTGTGGACCCCATCCACATGCTACATGATCACTATCAGGGTGTTTGAACAGCGGGATAGGCCACTTGGAATGAATAATCTTTGCTTTACTCGTATATTAGGTTGGTGGCAGTTATTGACAGTGGCTCAGAAAAGGAGACCTACTCTGCTCGAGCTCGGGGCATCTGACAAAGAATGTTGTAGTCAATATTTGAGGATTGTCACTTGCGTTGAAAAGTCAGACAACCTTGACCACCATCTAATGTGAAACTCTGTGGTCCAATGTATTGCCGAATGTATGTATGTGTTTGACTCCTGCCTAGTGTTCTGCGAATGGCCATAAATAAAATCACATATTGAGGAAAGAGAAATGACACCAGCAATCATGATCATGCAGGAACAGAAGCAATGTCATTCAAATGGGAAACAACTACATCTGCTGCTCTGCAATGTACTACCAGTACACAAGCCATGCCTCAGGCATGGCTATTTGCAAGCAAGCCTGCAATCCATGCATCCAGTGATGCTCTCCCATGCAAGGTAAGTGTTAGTTATGTGTTAGTTATATGATTATTCACCTCTACAGTACACTTTTCTATCCTTTTCATGGTCTCTATACGTACATATTCATTACCTATATTTCCCTGACCATTCATACACTTTCCTGACCTCCCTAGGACTTGTCTAGGTCGAGTTATTCCTTACCTTTGTGTTATGGCTTGCCTGTTTACATTTGTTTACCATATATCGCCCATATCCCAGAGTCCAGTGCTCCCTGCCTCTTTGGCAACTTACTCTGGACTATAGGTACTGTATACCTTTACTATACTCCAATACTTTGGCAACTTACTCTGGGCTCTAGTCCTGATCATCTTTGGTCACTCAGGAGCCTCTAGAAGCGGCCCATTCAGTTCCCATTGCAACACTGCAGACTCGAAAGATGGAGGAGGTGTGATGTCGGTGTCAGATTTAGTGTTGATGCTGCTGCTGAGTGTGTCACTGATGATGAAATCAAGCACTAGCATGAGTAGTTTATCTGTTTCAAGGTGCCACCCAGTGGAAGAAGGTATCATTGTAATGGCAGATGCACTATACCACAGTATAGGAGAGTGGACACCTGCGCCTGGGGTATCAGACTCCAGGGTGCATAGGTAATGTATGGTGTTTTCCTCATTCTTTGTATGAGGTTTTACAGGATAAACTGACTAATTGGGCTCTTCAAAGTGCAGGGGGTACTATAACCATCAAAAGTCATACCTAGTAGTGTTTACTGTCACACCTTGATCAATACAATTTTTTACAAAGTGTCTGCAACACAAAAACAAATGAGTGCATAGCTACATTTTCACCTGTGAAACCAACTATTCATTACCAATGGAAGAGGTTGGTTAAGTGTCTCATCTCTGCCCGAGATGCTATGTAGCAATGGGGTAGTCTTGGTCGTTGACTATGATGTGGCGAAGGAGGCCAACTTTGTGGCCAGTGTGATGGCAATCTGCTTGACCCAGTTTGAAGAAACCAACTACATGTCCACCAGAGCCATTAGCCAGGCCGTCGCCGAGATTTTGGAGGAGCATGACTTTTGTTCCAATAAGTCAATTTTGCTGTCCACAGGGAGCTCCTTGAAGATTCACTGGTCCTTGTTTCTGCAGCGATCATGCTTGAAGAGCATCATAATGAAAATTGATGTCCTGGAGCTGCTCAAGGCAATGCTGGTTCATCTGCTGGACTCTGTTGTGGGCAGGGAAGAGTTAGTTCTTTAATAGATTTGCACCCTCGTTGAGGTTGAATGATGTCCACTAAGTCAGCACTATAAATAATATATAAAATCATTGAGAGGGGATCACCCTGTCCTATTCCATTGTTGATGTCGATCCAATTTGAGGTGAAGCCATCAAAGTGTAGTTGCATTTTTCGTCCGGTGAGCATGTGTTTGGTGAAGTTGATGATCTCGCGAGGTAGGCGTTGAGTACGCATGTTGTGGATCAGTCTCTTGGTGACGGTGTTTGGGAACGCGCCTTCAATGTCCAAAAAGAGGACCGATACTACCTTGTGCGCCCTCCAAGCGTTCTTGATGGTGTCTTCGAGAAGGTGGAGTGAATTGGTTGTGGAGCGTCCTGGGCAGCCTCCGAAATGGGTGTTGGGTAGGAGGGTTTGCCATGTTTGCGTAGTACCACCATTGTGGATCTCTTCCAAGGTTCATGGTAGGTGCAAAACGTGAAGACCACATTGAAGAGGTAGACTAGATAGGGTGTTAGTAGGGCTGCACATTCCTTGAATACAATGTTCTTGATGCCATGTGGGCCCTGGGTCTGGGTAGAGGAAGTCAGCGGGGACAGAATCTTCAATGGGAGGGGGAGGGAAGAAGGCTTCAGCTATTACTATACTTTTCTCCATGTTAGTGGAGGCTTCCATTGTCGAACCATTGGGGTGCTTGGTTAGTATGGTTGGGATGCATGATTTACCGCTGTCGCTGGGCTTTGAGGAGATGTACTGGTCCACCACCTTTTCGAGTGCAGGCAGGGTTTAGATTGCGGGACGCATACTTCCATTGTCAATGTGATGGCCTGGGTGAGTCTTCGAGCCGACGTCTGAAATTCTTCCTCTGAGCCGAGCAGGGTGGGTGGGAAGGGGCTCAGATTGGTTGCTAGGGTCTCCTTAAATACTGACCAGTCGACATCGCGCCAGTTGAGACGTGGGGTGGTGTCCGTTCATGGGACTTCGAGGCTGATTTTGAGGAGGATTGGCAGGTGGTCAGTCTTGGGTCCTCTGCGGGAGGGCTCGGTCGAGCAAGAGATCACTGTGTCAATGACACCTTCTGTGCCAAAGGAGTTGTCTGGGTGCGTCCAATTTCCGGTACAGGTGGCTTGAAGAGTTGAGGTTCCCGCTGGGAGTCACTGCACCATGCCATAATCAGCAATTAAGTCAATGAGTGGACAACAGGAGGTATAGTTAAAAAGATGCCAGTTGTGTAGGTCCTCCCACGTTGGGTGATGTCGGTTGAAATCGCCAAGCCAGAGCATGTGGTCTTCTGCTGTTGGATGTAGGTTGGCAATGTTCTGATTGAGGAGTGCTGGTTTGGATGGTTGCAGAGTGGATGGGAATTTCAGGGTGGATTGTCTGGTGTGTGGAGTGCGAATGTGGTACATTGTTCTCGTGAGCGTCTTTGGGGGGGAGGTTGTTCTCATTCTCAATGAGCCTTGGGAAGTCCTCTTGGTCTATTTCATATGTGATGGGTAGGAATTGGATGACGCGAACTGTGATTGTAGGGCTAGTTGGCCTGTGGGACCACGTAGCCATCCTGCTAGCGCTTCATTGTCCAGTTTCACTATAATGCCTCCATTCCGTAGACGTTGGATCGCACGCACAGTGCCTTTGGGAGTGTTCTCATTGCATATGATGAGGAGGATGTTGGAAATTTTCTTGGCAATGGAGGAGTTCGTGGTATCTGTGGGAAAGAGTGTGTATCCTGGCGTTGGGTCTAGAAGGATTTGCTTGGCTCTTAACGATGCCTGTGCTAATGCCTGGTCAATAGTGGGGGGGAGGTGAGCGGCTGCTACTGAACTACACGTGGGATGGGGTTGTTGAAGGAGCGATTTGTTGCAGTGCCGATTCAGCATTGGTCATGGCGCCTGGTAAGGATTCTATGTCATCCTGTAGCATCGAGCCTCTTGTGTTGTTAGTGTTTCGGGTGACTGGAGGGTTCTGTTGTCTTTTGGATTTTTCTTCTCAGGTGCCTTGGGCGGCACCATTTTCTGTAAAAGTTAGTATCTAGATGATGTTTTTTCTGGGTTTTTAAGGTTTTATTAGATGTATGAAGGGCGATTGGTGACGCCATTGAACATGTTGGCCTGGGGTGGTGTCTGGGGTGCCACTTAGTGTGAGACCAAGAAGTGATCTCAATCACAGTTAATGTCCCAGTCGATGCACATCGTGCAGCTGAGCAAGCTGACAATCTGAATCAACAGGTGGAGAGCTTGAATGGATGCATCGCCAACGAGCCTGCCATGGATGTCGAGGATGAAGGTGAGTGACTAAATCTTTGTCTTTGATGTTATGACTAGCAGCAGCTGTTTTATAGATATTCATTGTGTGCCTTCACCATATGAACCGTCTGTAGATGGCTCAGAGCATCAAGCAACTTGGCACAATGTTGATGATATTCCAGTGTGAATATCACCCCAACTCTGGAATCCTGGCGCAAACACGAACATTCTCGATGTTTCAGCGCGACATTTTGGAAGACCCACCATTTCCCGATACACAACCTTGGGTGCCATTTCAATCTCGCCTGGACTTCGAGGCAGCTGAACTTGCTCATGAAGCTGCCCTTAGCCAGCCTCAAATTGACTGGCTGATCAACCTTTTGCATCGCTCAAAGCAGGATTCAGAGTCTTTCACCCTCTACAACTACAAAGATGTTCGGAACATGTGGAGTGCTATCCATACCCACAATGCTACAGCTGGTCTTTCCCACAAAAACAACCTCACTCTGAATTCTGCACACAATTCCATCAATGTAATTGGTGCTTCTGAATCCCCTATACCCCTCTCCCACAGTACCACCTTTCCACTATCAACGACGCCTGTCATCAAGTCACCACTGCAGCATAACATGCGATTTGCATTGAGAGGTTGGGTATTTGCTGCATTTGGAAAATTCTTGATGGCATGACAGATTGTGAAGCAAGCTTCATAGGCCTGATGGTTGAAGTGAATCAGCATCGCTTTATCATTATGAATGATTTGCAAGTGTGCCCACCTTATAGTGATCCTTGCCATACGTCAATTGTTGCGACCGAGGAGATGACGTGAGTGGACAGCGCGTCTGCTGATCTACCGGTCATCCATCATGTTTAACAACAATTTTGCCAGTGACAAGTGATGCATTCATCAGCCGCCTGCACAAAACTTGGGTGTTTCCTGTGTGAGCATAATCGAGGCTGCATTCCAGCATAGACATGACTTCAATGACACAAGGGTCTAACACTGCATTTGCTTTGATGCAATCCCGGCCGGTGAGCTTCCCACAATGCATTAATAAGTGTTGTCAGAAGATATGTAGCCCATGCAAACAAATAAGGGATTCGCTATAGCAAATACTAGGGGTAAGTGAGAATAGGGAAAGAATGAAGGGAATATTACATCTGGTTTAAAACCACCATGGTATCTTTGATTAGCTGCAACACCATAGGGTGACTCCAAGCTGTCAGAAGTGGGGTTATGATGTGCTCATATATGTCTCTGTGGATCTTTTAGGTGCTGAACAACTGTATTGAGATATGTGACTCCTACCTTCCATTTTGATTGTCATACAACGGTCGGTGTATGTCAAGTGTATAGGTATTTTCAAATCGCAGTGCCTGTGGTTGGTGATCCCCACACACATTGTCAACAAAGTGTTCATGAGGAAGTCCAATGTTGCACTGGTCCAGCCGGCGTTGCCAGCGGCGCTGACCACTGATTTTTTTGGCGGTGGTACCAGCCATTGCGGTAGATATCATCCCCAGTTGAACGGGGTGAAACTTGGCCTCATCTTGAACTCTGTGGGACAGTTCATTATATACCTGGCAGTTGATGCCATGCAACAAGGAGGAGCCAAGATGTGGGGGATTATTTTCGCCATTGACATCAGGACCATCGCCAGCAAGGGAATTATTTTCATTAGCATCATCATCTTGAAGATGAGGGGCGCATGGGATTGTCAATGAGGGCAAAGCATTGATTGAAGTTAGTCATGAGGCCACAAGATTGTACATTTCCCATATCCTTGGTAAAGGCCACAGCATGTGTTAGTTATGTGATCATTCACCTCTACAGTATGCTTTTCTATCCTTTTCATGGTCTCTATACGTACATATTCATTACCTATATTTCTCTGACCATTCACTCACTTTCCTGACCTCCCTAGGACTTGTCTAGGTCGAGTTATCCCTTACCTTTGTGTTATGGCTTGTCTGTTTACATTTGTTTACCATACATCGCACTATACTTGAATACATTGGCAACTTACTCTGGACTCTAGTCCTGATCATCTTTGGTCACTCAGGAGCCTCTAGAAGCGGCCCATTCAATTCCCATTGCAACAGCATGTACGTAGAATGGGACACTATTCTGAGTGTTTTCAACTTTGTCATAGTCTGCAGAGGCAAACAGCTGTGAACCACAGTTACTGAATGATGTAGCCTGCGCCGTGGAACTCTAAATCCCTCTTCACTGTAAACATTGATTTCACAGCCTTCATATCTAGTAGCGGTAGGCTGTGGAGGTCGACCTCCTCTCGGGCTTCATCAATTCAGGTTTATCGTAGAGCACCTCATGCATATTGAGGAGATATTGTTCTGGAACATCACACCACTCTTCCACATCTATATAGCTGCAATATTCCATTTGGAGGTGCTGCTAGCAATATAACTGATTATGCACCTGACTTGATTCGCAGGGTTTCCTAGTCACGCTTGGCTCGTGTAGCTCTCATGGGGGAGAAACACAGCATAATTGCTGCTTTGCTTTAGTATTTGATTAAACACTAACGAAAGAACGACTTACTTGATCTTGGGGGGCCATTAGCGCCTGTTCAATTATTGATCATGCATTGGGAGTTTGATATCAAAGGCACCACTGATGAGGAGTGGTTGGTTCTGACCATATCGAATGGTTACACTGACAGGGGAATTATTTTGGAGGAAGCTATCCTGTTTCCATCCATCGGGTGCTCTGTCCACTCGGTTTCTCCACTTTGTGCGAAATCCTGCGTGTAGATTTTTTACATCTACCAGACGGACAACTATGTGCCTGTTGTTATCCCCATCTCGTCCTCTGTCAGAATAATGCTCAATGCAGTGGATGTCTAGGAGCCGCATATTGTCCAATGCAAAGACAATGATGATAACCATCAAGGCATGCTGCTGTGAGAGGGCAGATGTTGGGGCATCAAGAATTGTAAACTGTTCACTTCCATTTGATGGGTGATCTTGTTGAAAGAACGTGTTTGGAACCATGGCTAGCCAAAACTGTTCTTGCAGCAGTGTGCCAACATACATCATACGGCCAAGGGGATTGATTGGAAGACATGCAATATTATTGTCGGGCCACAAGTGATGGGTGTTTGTGAGGTTGAGTAATGTATAAGGTGTGATTGATGAAATGCAGGCATACTCTTGGAATTGCATAGACTACCTACCCTGTTTCACTAGGTGCTCATCATCGATTATGAGCTTCCGGCGGTGCTTCCTGGTGGTGTCCGTCAGTAGTGGCAAGCTGCTCTGGGAGTTTGGTCACATCAAATGGAATGTTATTGAGTTTTGGTCTGGATCAATATTGAAACAAATCATATTTGAGTTGGTGCACAAGACATAAAACACACTGCTTACACATCATCATCACTCATGAGCTCTGCATCTGGGCCCACCTCAAGTTCCAGGATTTCATTATCGCCCGGTGTAGCTGTTATCCATTCCGCATTCACCAACATTCAAGCCAACACTTTCCACTTTTCCCCTTCAAGCGCTTATGGAAGGATCCTCTCGATAACCACAAAGAACGGGTGTTCGACAAGCTTTATACATCTGATTTGTGGCTCGAAGCTCAGGATGACCTGCAGAGGCAGTAGCCAAAAGAACCTGGCTGCTCATTTGAACATGTGATTGCAGGGCTCATTCTCCGACACAACTCATCTTGCCAACGTTGGAACAGCCAAGGCCTGGCCTCTTTACCTGTACTGTGGGAATCTGAGCAAGTACGTGCGCTCATCACCCACATCTGGTGCATGTCATCTTGTAGGATTCTTACCCTCAGTACGCCAACAACCTCCTGTTTCGCTGTGGAACCCTATTTGACTTTTTTTTCAGCTTCCAGATTGCGTCAAGAAAACTGGCATTATGGCCCTGCAGACACATTGTCGATGAGAGTTGTTCCATGTGTGTCGGAAAATTTTGCTGGACGCTGTTATTCATGCTTATCGTCATGGAATTGTACTTCAGTGTCCGGATGGAATACTTAGAAGAGTTGTTCCCCAAATCTTCACCTATTCGGCTGATTACCCAGAAAAGTGCGCTGTTTTTCTTCATCTTTGCTTTTTTGTTGAACTGCTAATAATCATTTCAGGGTTCTAATTGCAACAATCATGTGGACACATTGTCTCATTCCGAAAGCCTTGTTTAATCTAGCCCATGAGTTCATTTATGGATGGGGAAATACCATTGACGGCTCGCAAGTTCAGGTGACCCTTGGCCAAGGGTCATGGGTGCCGCCTGTGGCTATTGTTGATATGTACCTAATCCTCGAGGAGAATGCATTTGTAGACAAGCTTGGCCCACTAGGTTTCAATACTTTTCATATGCTCGTTGTTGATTTTATGCACAAATGTGAGCTGGGCACATGGAAGGCCTTATTTACACATCTTATCTGTCTGCTTTATGCCCTTCCTGGTGGTGACGGCCTGGTTGCATGTCTCGACAAAAGGTGTGTTATAAACTGTTGTCTTATTTATATGAAACTGATGGTATAGATGCAGCGACTGACATGCCTGTGTGATTTGACATGAAATATCATCACTATATATTCCAAAGCTTAGCCGCAACAATCCGTTGGATATTTTCAATTTTCTTCGACACCACGAAAATGATCCGGCTGTATCAGTAGGTGCATCTCTCTCCTCAAGGTTCATCAGGTTCATCTCGCTCATGATAACATGCAGGGATTTATACCGAAACTCAAAGATCACATATTATATTGCCTTCAAGAGTTGGATATTAGTCATTGTGACCATGTGTTCACAGATGTCACAAGCACAATTTGGTCGTCAAACAATGCAGATATCTACAATTCTTGAATTTTGCAGGTACATTACACGACTTACGACCTTTAACGAGAGTATGAACGATACTATCAATCCTCGGACCCATTCCGATATCATGGTCCTGTCTGGGGAAACAAAACCCCAGCATCCATACTGGTATGCCTATGATGTATGGTTAAACGGTGAAGTGAAGGCTCAATGAAGATGAATCAAATCGAGACACTCTAGGTTAGATGGCTGGCGCCTGTGATCAACCATCAGTCGGGGATGACATGCACTCGACTTCCAAGGGTAGCTTTTGGTCGGATCCTTCTTGAGGTCACTTATTTCATCCTCGTGCCAGGCCTTGTACCTCATCCAGGCAGTAAGATCTGCACCGTTATTGACTGCTGTGTAATAATAGTCTTTCCACCAGGCGGGAAACATGATAGCAGCTTCTTCCAGTTCGGAACAGTCGACGTCAGGATCAAGCTGCTTAGAAAATGAGATGAAGGTGTCTCAAATCTTCCCCAGCCCCAAATCAACATAGCCTTGACGGCATTCATGTCGATGTCGGGTTATAATGTCTGAATTGAGATCAGGAACTTCAGTTAGCGTATACTTAGTTTGATAATGCAAAAAAAACTTGCACTGTGAGCCATGTGTTCAGAATCTTCGTTATCAAGGTCAATAACGGGTTCATTGTCTCCCAGAACCCAAACGAAAACTCCAAGGAGTTGATGTGACGCCAATTGTGATTGGCGATCCTAATTGCGGTGTAAGGTGGGAAGTGTTCGGTGATGAAATGTTTCAGAGGAAGTGCTTCAGAGTGTTTTCGGGGAATGTTCCACGCAGGAGAACCGTCCTCAGGACTGGTGTAGGGTCGCGCTTCGTGGACCAGCCCCAGGACAGCGATCTTGGCATGAGGATGACTAGCGAGAGCTTACGGATGGCATGTGCCTTATCCTCAGAGCACGCGCACTCCCCCACCGTAGATTTGCAGTTGATGGTCAACGTGGAGTTCATGTGAACCATTGGGAATATAGTGTCGTGATCGTAGGGGAGTGGCAATTGGCATCTCAACAAGGAGGGAGTGTTTGTCGTAATTGTAAGTCAGCCTGGCCTAGTTAGTATATTTACTAATGGTATTCCCGCGCAATTCAGGAAATGCCACAGGCATAAGTTCCAGAGTGGGGCAGCTTGGGGTTCCAAAAGTTTCCCCACAGGAAGACTGGAAGGAGGATTTTTACAATGCAGACATCCCATGTCATGAGAGCAAGTGCATGAAGGCCAGGGCAGGACTTCACGCTTGTGGTCAAAGGAACAGATCAATCATTGTGCAAAGGAAGTGGGCCGTCATGCCGCATGTGCACGTATGCAGTCCTTTCATCATGTCTTACGATGTTTTGTCATCTGAATGGATACAAATGCATTCACTACCAGATGTATTGACTTGTGCTTGGGTTTAAAATTTCAACTTCTGCTGCCACACTCACTGCAACTTGACTCAAGTGCAGTGTAAGTCATGACGGCGGCAGATCCTCTGGAATATTGCAAGCACCTTACCAATTTGTAGGGCATTCAATAGGTGAGCTATACTCCTCAAGCATGACCGGGTAGAATACCCCTTGACTGATATAAAGGATTGACTTGACAGACCTCCATCAATCATCACGAGGATTTGTCCCACTGGTACATCATGGCACCATATTCTGAGAGGCGAGACTTGCTTCATCCAAACAGTACTAGTCATGCATCCTTCGTCATATCCTCATGTGGCATTGCCCTATATGTCTCAACACTTAGCGAGTGAGTATATAACAGTTCAGGTAGGGCTTTAGTCTGCCGTCTATACCTTTCTCCACCATCACTCCTCATCTCTGTCACTCACTCTTTGTATTTATCACTTTACTTTGCCTCACATCCACACCCTCCCTTCTGCAATGTCTACTCCAGAGCAGCATCACCCTCTCAAACTTCCAGACCGGTCTGGAGCAGTTCCTACCTCTACAGAGGCAAGGGCGAAGTGTTGCATTGCCATGTTGAAAGAGCAACTGGAAACCATGAAGCAAGAAAGGGCAATGAAGCAGAGGTCCGTCGACTTATCATGCTTGACCCATGCCTCTTGCTCATATAACCTCCAAAAGACTGTTGCAATGGGAACTGAATGGGCCGCTTCTAGAGGCTCCTGAGTGACCAAAGATGATCAGGACTAGAGTCCAGAGTAAGTTGCCAATGTATTCAAGTATAGTAAAGGTATACAGTACCTAGAGTCCAGAGTAAGTTGCCAAAGAGGCAGGGAGCACTGGACTCTGGGATATGGGCGATGTACGGTAAACAAATGTAAACAGACAAGCCACAACACAAAGGTAAGGGATAAGTCGACCTAGACAAGTCCTAGGGAGGTCAGGAAAGTGAGTGAATGGTCAGAGAAATATAGGTAATGAATATGTACGTATAGAGACCATGAAAAGGATAGAAAAGCATACTGTAGAGGTGAATGATCATATAATTAACATGCAGTATAGCAGGAACAGTCATGGCTGACCACAAAATGCAAGCAATCTCCGCTCATTTATTCAATGTCAATATTTGTTTTAGTAGCACATGTGCGTGACTATGGTTCACCAGAACAATTTGCCAATTGGTTGCTCAATATGGTATGTGCAGCAAATTCACCTGCAAGCATTTTATGGAGCCTGATTAAGAAGGACCTTCTGTTATGCGAGATCAGTGAGGTACAATAGATGAGCAATCAGATTTTACCTGAAAGCTCTTGAAGGCTGGTCAGATAGTTTGCATTGTGTAGATTATTTTTTCTTCAGGGCCAGACACCAGCTTGCAAAATTCAGCCAGTGTTGGTTGTGGTATGGTGAGCTGATAGACATCGATGCCAATGGCGCTCATTGTACTACTAACCAGTTGCTCAATATGAATTGGAAACCATGTATTGAAGAGTCATTGCCCTTTCACACCTTAGTGCCAACACCAAGGTGGGAAAAGTGACACAATGACGTACAATAGACCCGAAGTATTATGGATGGCTCCAACAGCTATGTGCTCGCTGGTGAGTTGGGACTCTTTGCTGCAACCTTGATTAGTTGCCCAGGATCACAACTCATGGGCGCATCATGATGAGTCTTGCAATTGCTGTGAGATTGCACCCTTTACCAGCCTTTACCAACCCTTTCAACAGGCTGGACCACGGATCTGCTGTCAGAACAAATTCATCTTGATCTGCTTTTTCACAGAGCCCCGGGCCTACTGCTGTGAATTTACAATCACATAATTCAAAAGGTGTACGGGATAATTCAGCTGTTGTCTTGAAATGAAGGTACCACATGTTTCCTTACAATGCTGAAACCATGAAGAAAGCTATTGACTGCCTCCCCAGGGAAATTATCGAATTGCCAAGGGTTAGTGTTTGGATTAAAATAGTTAATGCATTACATTGGTCTTATAACTATCATTCATTCAATGCATTAAAATGACATGATAGCCTGCAAGTACACGGTCAATGGATTTTCTAGTTTTCTCAGTTGATAACAAGTTGTTCATGAGAGGCTTAGACTTATACAGTCGGTCATTAATTAATGGATAGGCTGATATGACAAACAAAAGATAGTGGCCCAGGATAGATAGATCCTATGGCCCTTGCTGCTGCTGCTCCTTTTGCTCGCCAATGTGGCAGATGATTCACTTGAATGCAATGTCAGGAGCCATGACAGCTTGTCGGATGTCATCTGGTATGTTGATGCACTTTTGACAGGTGACACAAGGACAATCATTGCGGCAGAACAGAGCATCCCTTTCACAGGCTTCATCTCTGCACACAATATAGAACTATGTTGTTCTTAGATTAGTGCTGAACTGTAATAAAATGTGTTTTCTTCAACTTACCTTGTTATGCTCAAATGCATCGCATTGTTTGGCCTGTGTTAGTGCAGTCGAGGTAGAGTTGTCCTCAGTTGACATGCTGATGGTGTTGTTGGTGATTGGCATGCTGTGCTGGTATGGGGCTGAGGCAAGTAGGAGCAGTTTGTAATGATGGTTGTGGATTTGAGTGTTTGTGGATGTTGTGATTTTTGAACCAACTCACCATGAGGTTATACAAACAATGCTATACAATCATTGAACCCCACATTGTTGAGCATCCTAAGTAACGGTCATGTCTCACCTTATATTCTTTTTCATGTTGCCATTTGAAAACTCACCATCAATTATATATTTATATTGGTACTGTAGTTCAGCTAAATAGAGGACACTATGTACATGGATGAAAGCGCAATACACAAGTCACAACTGTGTAATCAATCAGCCACAGTAATTAGGGAGTTGTATATAGTTGACATAATATGGAATGCCTGTGGTGCATTACGCGTGTGCACTTGTGCATGTTTTCACATTTGCCATGGATCACGTGATGTGTGTGTTATTTGTCTGTATGTGCGTGATATCTGTTTGTATTATGTTGATTGTTTAGTTAAGTTCAATGCATATATGTACTATTTGCCTTTGTTTGGTCATGGCTGATTTTCTTTCCTCACCTGTCTTTTGTCTTTCCATTCTTTCTTTCCCACTTTCTCACCACCCAACTACCCAGTGTGGCCTTTGCTTTCTCTCGTTCCTCAATGTCCACTTTCTGGCTTGTGCCCAGTCTGTTCTCATTCTCGTTGTCGTCCTCCTCCTACTGCCGTAGCATTCACTGCCTTTCTCAATCTCCACCATCCCAGTGCAGCCACTGTGTTCTCCCTCCTACATCAACTTCCAGCACAGTGATGCGCACTCTGCGTGCTCTCCTTCAGGAACTGATGGGTGCCCACTATGTACTCAAAGTATGTCTCTATTGTCTTCCTTTTTAAAAAATCTTTTTCTTCTATCCCTGCTCACCGCCCCCTCCTGTGTTCGTCTGCATCGTCCTGTGAATCATGGGTGTAATTCTCTGTAGAATAGTCTCCCGAATGCTGAATATAATGTCAATTGATGTGCAAATATGTGTAATTATAATGTACTGTGGGGAAGAGTCAACACTGTCATCTGCACAATGTTTATGTGTGATGGTAGACATGTTAAATGATGATAGTGTAGATATCTGAATAATTTATTGTATCATAGATGTTGGATGATTGTGAGATAGATATTTGAACTGCTGAAGAGTAGCAAGAGGCCGAGATTAAATAGAGATTTCAAGGATTGCTGTCGATGTTTGTATGGTAGAATGTGGATGTAGTGTGACCTACTAGGTACCATACTCGTGTGCTATTCTTCATGGAATGTGATTCAATATTTCACATAGTACATTGGATGTCTTCATATAAGATTTCCAGGGGACAGTGACTACTCCTTCTCATTCATATTACCTTGCTTGCAACATTGATAGGATTTGGTAATGGACGCTAATGGAGCATTACACTCAATCAAAACCAACACCTCACAGGGAGGCCAGACAACTGTTGTTGTGGCTCACTAAAGTCTCTTATTCAAGTCAAGAATGCGAGATATAGTGCATATATATCCAATGCATTGCTGAGTATGTACATCATGAAAGTCACAAGTAGCATCAATCACCTCCACAAACAATATACTAATAGGTGCAAAAAAACTTAATACAAGAATGTGAGACATCCAAATGACAATAGCAAGTGGGAAAGGGTGGCGCAGATATGTAGTCAAGAACAGTGCATTGCAAGACTTACAGGAAGGTGGAGGTGTGAACAGAGAGTCACCTGAACAATGTCTAAAGCTGAATTGCATGCAAAACAAGGTTCAGTCTGGAAATTAAGAATCAGACAACAATTTGTATACAAGTATACATCACTAGCACCCTGACTTGGATACCATTGTGACTGAAAGTGTCTTTGTCAGTCAACCCACTTGCATTGTCATGATTTAGAGCTAAAAGAGGGGGGGTGTAGATATGTTGAATAAGTTGAACTCCACAGAGTCTCCGGCATAGAATGAAGTTGGCGCGCTGTGGGCATCGTGCTGTGTGGAAGAAAAATATGATTCTGGTTACACTGAAGTTTCATCCTGTAAAAAAGAATATGTAAGTGTGATTGATTTGGTAGACAAAGATGTGCTTACAGCAGCAGGGGCGTCATGAGTATGCTAAATCCGCAGATATGGGTTGTCAAGATTAGATTGCTGGAAGAGTTTAGGCATGTGTGCAGCTTAAAGAATTTCAATTGATGACCGGCAAGTTATTGACTACAACAATTCAGCTGGTCAACTGGTCACTGATAGTCGAAGACAAGAGTCTATCTGAGGCACTTGTCACAATAGTCAGGGTGCTACCACTACCTTGAGGAAGCTTCCTTTTGAACCTTGGGCTGGGGTACATGGTTTGCGCATGATGTGGCAGGACCATCAAACTGCCCCTGACTTTTGTTTAGCTTTCCTTACTCCAACATATGTGCAGATACATTTTTTCTTTCCTTGGTCCTCTACTCCTCCATCACCCTTTGACCAGTACACTGAAGCCCAAAAGCAACCAGTAGGTGCTAGAGCTATAGGAGATAGAGTCTCCAGGAATAGTGATGATCTACCAATGTAGAATTGCCAGAGAATGTAATGCTTCACTGCAGAAACAAGGGAAAGGCCAAGCTGGACATAATTGTTATATTTACCTTCATCAGCATGTTCTTGGACAGCCCAAGAATTCACATTGCCTTTTGGCTGGATGTCCTTGGGCTTGCCAGAGGTGGACCAGATAGGTAGTTCCACAACATTTGGCAAATTCAACCTGGGGCATGGCCTGAATCTCAGGCCTGCTTGTGTCGGTGTAGGAACCTCTAGGTACTGGCCACTCAGAAATCCTCGCAGGGATGTTACTGTGGAAGAGTCAAGAGTCACTAGCCTGAGAATCTGTGTTACTTCAAGCATTCTTTGCCACATTTGAGGCTAAAATAGTTGTTAGTTTGCAGGAGAGTATGAAGGTCAACTTCAAACTTACTGGCAAATCATCTCCAACTGGACCCTAAACATCGGACCTACTCAGATCCTGAGCCTCGGACCCACTTAACCCCTGAAAACATTGGATCTACTTCACAGTTCATCTCCATCCCCATTTCCCATGATCTGCTTGACAGTTCATTTCCGGTCCTGCTCCTATTCTGTTACCCCATTTGTATAGTCCCCTTGTCCTAACCCCTATATGCCCGGATCTGCTTGACAGTTAATATCCGACTCCACTCCCAATCGTCCACAGTATGTTTTGTTCTGCTGGTACATTTCCTACATAGCCTTATGTTCCAAGGACTGCACTTCAGCCGGATACCCGTCAAATACACTACAGTATATCAACCCTTTGTAACTTGTAGTAGTTTCTGGAGTTCGAATATGACCTTAGATTATCCTCATTCTGTTTCCCTGGACTGGAATCTGTCCCTCGGGTCCGGGATCCATTTCCATGGACTGGACCCCACTTCCTGGTTGAACCTCTGTGTCCTGGGATTGATTCCTCGGGCTATACTCCGCCTCTACCTTCGGGTAGTCTACCTCCATCAGTTTCTACTCTGGACATTGTCTAGTGTAGCCTTACCTCTAGCTTCCACCTTCTCAGACTTCCTGTCCTCTCGGACATCCTGTCCTTCTGTCCTCTCGGACTTCCTGACTTCCTGTCTTTCCGTCCTTACACCTGTCTGTTCTGTCCGCCACGTCCGCCGGACTAAAGCCCCTATTCTCCGGGTGTACTAAACCCCTATTGTCCGGCGGACTAATCCTCTTATGTCAGCCGGACTAACCCTATGATTGGCCGGACTAACCCTCCTTATGTCGGCCGACAAACCCTCCTTATGTTGGCCAGACTAACCCCCTGAACATCAGCCCGACTCTTCATTGGGAAAGCCTACCAGACTTGTCCCCTTGAAGTCCACCAGGATTCATCATCCTCCCTCGGACTTTGTTTCTAGCCTTCGGAAATTAAGGGCATGCACTCAGGTAAGGGGCGCAGCGCATGAGCTGAAGCCAAGCCCTTCAGATCCGCCCTTTGAGCATGGTCTTAACACATGTCATTTTCATCTGCCTGGTCCTCTCCTTCATCATTGCAACACTTCTTCCCATCACAACCTGCACAACCCAGCATTTGTTTGTTCACGACAAGCCCAAACAGTGATTGAAGATCACCACATGTTGAATTTTGGCTCTGTCTATATACCCTGTGCAAAAGCTGTGATGCATGTCATCACCTTTGATTCTCCTCTGTCCCAGAGGTTGTTGTGATAGATGGCACACTTGTGTAGGAGTACAGAGGTGTCTATTAGGACTAGACAACAGTCAACCTCAGTCGTTATCAATGGCTTTGATTATTATATACCTAGACAACAGTCAACTATCGTAGTGATATTAGCGTCTAGGTATCATAATGATAAATAAGAGAACATACATACCCTCAGTCGTTATCAACAGACTGAGGAAAGAGGGAAAAGCAAACAAGAGAACTATATGTAGGGGGTTTGTATTCCTATGCAATACTCCATTGATCCGTGTCGCATTGGTCACGTGCATGTTCATGCCGCAATACTCCTCCTCAACGCGATACGTCTCCTCCTCGAGTTCATCACTGTAAGCCCAGGTAGGTTCATAGATGTCCATGGTCTTTCTTCGGTAATGCCTTAGTAAAGATGTCGGCGAGGTTCTCGTGGGTGTTACGACAGAAGTCGTGTTTGAACTGGGATAGTTCAACGAAGAAGACGCGTCTTCTAAGTTATAGATCGGGTGTCGGAATGTCAATATACCCGGTAGCCTTCGTCAGGATATGACTAAAGGATAGGTAAGCTTCTAAGGCGGAGCCGAAGAAGGGTTTCGCTGTTGACTGCGAAGTCTAGGCGAGAGATCGGTATTGGCTCAAAGACGAATAGTCTAAGAGAATCAAAGGTAATATCGACTCAAGGATAGCGATCCAAGAGTATAGCAGTTCGTAATCAAGTTCAGGAGATCAGGTAATCGTTCAGGTAAAACCCAGTAGATTCAAGTTAGGGAAATACAGTACAATGGAGTCAACTATATATAGGGAAATAGGGACAATGTTCAGGGCAGGTCAAGGAACTAAAGATAGATATATCAGGAAGGTAGGGTTGAGGGTATATGACCATGAGGTCAGGGATCAGGGTTCATGGGAAGATCAAGGGAAATAGAAGTACAGGCCGTGAGGCGGAAGATCAAGGGTTCAATGGAAGCGTCTAGCTTCTGTCACAGAAGGTCAGGGTTGGCGGGGATCAAGAAGTGTGCATCAAGCATCGTGGTGTATCGTGAAGAGGTGATATTTGTGACGGTGTGACAGGGTGAAAGGGTAAGAAAAAGATAGGGGGCCATGTTACTGTAATTGGCGTGGAATGAAGTGTCCTCTGTGAGAATGATAGCGCCGTTGTTGTCGCACATGAGAGGTGAGACGGAAGTTTGTTGGAAACCAATTTCGTGTAAAAGCATGCGGATCCACGCAATTTCCTTGCCAGCTTCGGATGCAGCGATATATTCGGCTTCACAGGTCGACAATGATACTGTTTTCTGTTGTCTTGCACTCCAAGTGACGACACCTGATCTGAGAGAGCAAGAGTACCCGCTAACAGATCTCCTTGTGTCGATGCAACTGGCCAGATCACTGTCGGTATATGCGAGTAGGCGGGCGACGTGTTCGCCTCCGAGAATGAGTCGGAGAGATCGGGTCCCTTTAAGGTATCGCACAACACGTTTAGCGGCCTCCCAATGGGTCGTCCCATAGGAGTCGAGGAACTTGCAGAGTTGTTGGACTGCATATGATATGTCGGGATGGGACCCAATGGCAAGGTACATCAAAGAGCCAACAAGTGAGCAATACAGGGTGCGTGTCATGAGTTCGCGTTCGGCGTCGGTGCGAGGGGAGTGATCTCTGCGTGATAGTCGTAGGCCCAGGTCCATGGGTATAGTACATGGTACAGCATCTGTGAGTCCGAATTGAGTGATGATGTGATCAATGAGGGCGGTTTGGGAAGGTGCGATGGTACGTGCTGGTCGATCACGAGAGATGGTGATGCCAAGGCAGAAATGTGCGTCCCCAAGTTCAGCTACTTGCCATTTGGTGCATAGTTGAGCCTTGAAATTGGTAAGGGCAGCCTTGGAGCTGCTAACAGTGAAGAAATTGTCAACATGTACTGTGATGAGGAGGATACCGGTGGGTGAACGGCGGAAATAAATGCAGTGTTCGCTTTTTAGACGCATGAATCCCCATGTTAGCATCGCTTCATTGAGAGTTTTGTTCCAGATGAGCCCGCCCTGTTTCATACCGTAGAGTCCTTTCTGGAGTTCCCATACGTGATCTTCAAAGCCTGGGACGACGAAGCCCTTGGGTTGCTCCATATAGCAAACCTCGTCCGCGTCAAGCAGGCTGTATAGGAAGGCCATTTTGATATCGAGCTGCTCGATCTCCCAATCGAGGGCAGCGCCGATGTGCACGAGAATGCGAAAGGATTTGAGGCGTGCTGTTGGCGCAGAGGTTTTCGTGTAGTCTTGTCCCCAAATGGCAGAATACCCTTTGCATACATAGCATGCTTTGGAGCGGGCTGCGGCCCCATGTTGATCGTGTTTGAGTTTGAACACGGGTCGGCCTTTCATAAGTTTGTGGCCTGCGGGTATGGACGTGCGTGGTACCAGCTTGTAAATGCCTATGTCCCGTAACAAGTCAAACTCCTCCTTGAGAGCTGCTGTCCACTCGCATGCGTAAGGAGAAGCCATTGCTTCAGCGTAGGAGGAAGGATCGTCTGATTGTTCGTGGTCAAATCCATCGGGGACAGCTGCAAAAGCCTCGTAGAGGGTGGTGAGTTCGTCTTCTAGTGCCTTAAGGTCAGCAGTGGGGAATTCTGCATTATATGCACAATCTGATAAGTTATTGAGATTGCGAAGTCGCTCGGTGGCGGCCATGGAGGCAAGGGCAGCGCGTTGTGCCGCTGGTATGTAGGTGGTGCCGTCCATAGCGCAGAGTTTCTCGGAGGGAACATGGGCATGGGTGGAACGACGTGGGGGAGGTTGGGGTGGGAGTACCAGAATGGGAGGTGGTAGGACGACATCATCAATGTCGGGAGCATTGACGACGGAGGCACATTGGGAGATGGGCTCTGGTGCGTCAGGTCTAGAGGGCGCAGGAGGGTTAGACAATGTGCTACCAGGGTGTAGAGGAGTATGATGGTCATCAAAGGACTCAATAAAGGATACGTTGGAATGGTCCATGGGGGGACGAGCCATGGGACTCTAACCAGAAGCAAGGAACAAGCAAGTGGAATAGGGTAGGAAATGGCTACAGACATGCATGAAGTATATCTACTGAGTGCCTCGAGGCCCAGGCAAGACCCCTGGCACCCCTGGCAGACCCCTAGATGAGCCCCTGGCCCAAACCCCCTAACACAACGTGGTGTGAAATGAATACTTTTTTGGATGTGCGATGAAAGCACTGATAAGCCTTAGAGTCGAGGGAATGCCCGATGAGGATGCATTCAGTTGAGCGGTTGAAAATTTTTGGGTTGTGTCGGTTTTGAATAAGAACGAAAGCACAGTATCCAATTTCGTGAAGGTGAGATAAGTCAGGTTTGCGAGAGTACCATCATTTGTAGGGGGAATGGCCATTCTGTGATGAGACTGGGGTACGGTTAGACAAGTAAGCCGCGGTGAGGACGAATTCGTCCCAACGGTTAGCAGGTATCGAGAAAAAACGGTACGACAGATGGGTCGATTGGAGTACGCGCACATTGGTTGGGAGCTTTGTAGGTTATACCCGCGAAGTCGACAGACTGAGAGTGGGTATGCCAGTCGACGCTAGCTTGGAGGTCAATGGCAGCGAACAACGTGTCAAAAGCGTCGTCAGGTAAGTCCTCGATAAAGGCTGATGAAAGAGTATCATGCGCAAGACCCGCGAATTCTTGGGTTGGTGTAGTGTTGCCAGGGGTGGAGGCGACGAAGATGGCCTCATGGGTCTCAGCGTCCAGGAGATAAGCACGACCGTTTGTGTTGTAGTGTAATCCACCGGGTTTGCCAGTAGATGCTCCCTTGGTTGGACACGAGGTAGTGGGTCCAGGGGGTTTTGCAGAACCTGTAGTACCACCGCCTCCACCTGCTCGTGCTGCACGACGGCGCACAATAATTTTGTCCTTCTTTTCTTCCATAGTGCCCCCCTTACCATATCAATCTTTGGTAGAATGCCACCAACCGCCGCAAGTGGTGCAGCAGCTGGAGTGGGTAGATTGGCCACAATCTGTGCATGGGGGGTGGCTGCGGTTAGGTTGCTTCCCTTTGTTTGAAGCCAACATGGCGACGTCACCGGACCCCTTCCCTTTGTCATTGTCGACGAGCTGTTGTTCCAGTTTGAGGTGGGAACAAATATTGACGGGACCATAGGGAGTAGAGGGTGTGCTAATGATGATGGTGTCGGTGACAAGGCCTGTTGGATCAGCAGAATCTGAGCGATAGGTCCTACTTGCTCATGGTGAGGTTTAAGCGACAACCAGGCGGCATGCACTTCGGTGAAGGGGAGTAGGAAATCCTGGTCCTCTGTGCAAGAGCGAGTGCTAAGCGCTGTTACGATACAAAGGTTGTTAAGGTCCCAAGTACTGGCACCCGCGGGATCTAGGATGTCATTGGGATGTGGTATGACGCCGAGTAAGTAACCTCCTCCGTGTTTAAGGAGTAGATAGTTGTGTATTTTGGCAGACCACGTGCCCCAGTTGTTCTGGCCACGATCGAGAAGCTCAATCTTTTCGAGATCGGTGTGACTCAGGGTGATGGCCGTGATCTTAGAAGTCGGCGTTGACATCACTGTGGTGATCGGCCCAGCCCCGTGTACGATAGGTGCTTGGAGTGTATTGGTGTGGACGGATGGGCAGATCGTAGAAGCAGATGAAATTGGCTTGGGGATGCTTGTGTTGGTACTGTTAGAGCGCAAATGATGTTTTGCCATGCCAGACAGTGGTGGTGCGAGGGAAAGAAAGTGGGCGAGGAAGTGATGCAATCAGCTCGTTATTTAAGGTGATCAATGGCTGTAGTTCAGAAGTGCTTCTCGCTCGAAGAAGTAATATGAACAACGACTTGATGATGTCGAATTAAATCAGCATGTATCACTGCACGCCGGTGACGTGAAAGCCCCGATAAGTGTTTTATTGTGTTGATGAAGTCCAGAAGGTTTCCGCTCGCTCGGTTTTCGAGTGAGCAAGGCTCATAACCTATTAGGACTAGACAACAGTCAACCTCAGTCGTTATCAACGGACTTGATTATTATATACCTAGACAACAGTCAACTATCGTAGTGATGTTAGTGTCTAGGTATCATAATGATAAATAAGAGAACATATCCTCAGTCGGTATCAATGGACTGAGGAAAGAGGGAAAAGCAAACAAGAGAACTATATGTATGGGGTTTGTATTCCTATGCAATACTCCATTGATCTGTGTCGCGTTGGTCACGTGCATGTTCATGCCGCAATAGTGTCTGTCTTGACTTGTGAGCAAAAGAATGCCAACATATGCTCATCATCGTCCAAGAGTCCATTGAGAGCACAAACCAGATGACCTAATGACTGGTGTGCTGCAATATGCTGGACTAGAATGATGTGCATCCAATTTCTGGAAGGTTTGTTGGTGACCTGAACTGTGCAAGGTTGTCCACCTTGATACTAAATGGTTTGATGAAGCTCAACATCTGATGGGGAGAGGCAGTAGCAAACAGGAGGCTGACCAGTATCTTCATGGCACTGGATTGCCTGGCAAGAACCCCCCATGCCTTGATTTGTTCTGGATGGCAGTTGACTATATCATAAAATTTATCTATGAAGGCCTTGGTGAATTTATTCCCAAGGGAGTAATCCATGGGGAAGATGACCGTGGGCCCTTAATCAAGGTTATCTTGATACTTCTTGTAACAATCCAGAAAAGGCCTGTAAAACAATTTGTTCAGATACAGTGCCAACTTATTTGTGGCCTTGAAATAATTGTAAATATGTGGAGTCCTGTGAGGTCCAGATAGCATATCTTTTGAAGGATGAAGACTGTGCTGAGGCCATAAACATCAACCATCATGAGCTTGATTGGGCTATGTGGAAACCAAATGTAAGATGCCTGTGACCTTGGTGGTGAAAATATTATTTTGATAAAGGTACTGAATGCGGTTCAAGGTGAAGCTTTTTTGATTGTTGGATAAGCTAGTTATGCTGCCAGGCGGACCTTCATCCCTCGTATACTTCATATAGATGTTGCCTTTGTCAGTGCAACTGTTGCAAGGAGAATGCTCTATACCCAGTCAATGCACAAGTAGTTGAGTTGCGGCCAATGCTTTATTGAGAAGTTTGTTCTGTGCTAAAGGTTAGATAAACCACTGGGGAAAGTGTTAAATACACACTCCTATACCATCAAAATGTATTCTTTCACCTTGCTTCTCTGTCTCATCCAAGCACAAGGGAGAGAATCCCATAGCTTACAGGGCCTGCTTACTAATGTGTTGACCACAAGGCTGAATCTACAAGGTTTTGGTGATCATGTCTGGGCATTAGTGCCTGAATAAAATTTTATGTATTCTGCCATGCTAAGCTAACATATTTCGATAGAGAGAGAGAACTAATGGGTGTCGTAGCCCGGGACTAGGTTAGAGGAGATGTGACTCAAACAAATCTAAATAGGATGCCTTTGTATATTATGCTCAATCCTAGCAGGTCTTACACCAGCCGGGGGTTTTGGCTGTGGGCTGTGTTAAGTTGTTGCATAGTCTCACAGCACCTTGAACTGACATGGACAAGGTAAACACAACCCTTACATGGACAAAGTGATGTCTTTGTTCTTAGTCCATCAAATTACTATGAGTAAACAATCTATGTAATGCCTTCATGCGAATCTTATACCTCAGTTGAACGCTAAGAGCAAGAGAATTATATTATGTAAACTGTATATTGATGTTTGTACAACTCTATAACACACAACACTCAACCAAACAAACATTGCCCTGTATTACATAATCTCTTTCCCTTTTTCATTAACCACCATCTCCATTTTGTTGGAAATTTTATCGCCCCATGATCATTTCCCTTAGTCCATTTCATACATATATGTGCAGCTTCTTCTGCATAAGCTGACTGTGCGGTATTAATGGCACTGGCTAAAGCCTCTTGCTGGCCGCGTCTCTCTGCTTTCTGAGTAGATGTGAGCTTTGCATGTGGACGGCGAGCACGACCTGTAGAAACTCGTGGCATGGTGCAAGATGTCAAGAGAAAAATTAGGAAAACAGAAAACTATGTACTTGCCCTGGTCTTGCAACATAGCACTAACTTATAAAATTTGACCCCAAGTCAGGGAAACAAAAAGTAAATTGATGGCCTTTGATCAGGGCCCAGATACATCACAAATTTAACACGGAAAAATGCATGCTAGTCAACTAATAAAGAATCAGCATGGCTTGGTACAAAAGAACGTAACACTAACTGAGCCAGCGTTCATTGGATGCACGTGCCATCACTTCAAGTAGCGGACCAATGCATTCGGAGGGGATGTCTAACTTAACAAGGTTAGCATGCCAAGACAACGGCTTGTATCCTTTGTTTTGTCGAATGCACTTCCAGATCTCGTCTGCGACGAAGGAGGTTACATTGTCCGAGCCAAGGACAGTCTTGATTTCAGCAGAAATTCGAGCTGAACCAGCATCATGTGGAATGGTCAGGTTATTGGGTGCCATCAAGTATAAATTATTTGTGATGGACACGCCTTCCTCGGTCCCACCCACTGCTGACTGGATCAGCACAAAATGCGGATCCCCATCATTGGCAGTGGTGGATGACATGAGCCCTGCCACAATTAATGTAATGAAGAATGAAAAAGAAAAAGAAGCTCACCTTTGAGTCATAGCCATGCTTCACTGATCCAGACATCTCAGGTTGAGGGACTTGAGACAGCGATGGAGAGTGCGGTACTTCAAGGGAGGTGAGCGTGGTGAGATGACAAATTCATGGGATGGAGGACTCGGAGGTTGTGTTGTGGAAAGTGATGGAGATGCGCCATAATGTGAGCCCTAATCACAGTTTAATAACAAAGCATGAGAAAAATAAATCAGCTTACCTGTGAGTCATACTGCACTGATTCTGAAGACCTGTTTTGAGGCAGCAATGGAGAACTGTCATATACCGTACACTGAGCCCCTGAATCATATCCCATCTCTCGCAACACACAATGTCCGGACCTCTGAAATGTAGCCAAGCTATTCCTTAACCCTATCCCTACCCCTCGGCAGGATAACTCCGCATCCCAGTCTCCACCGGACATACCCCTCAGCAGGATCTGCCCTGCTTCCCCTATACATCGGACGTCCTATACGTCGGACGCCCTATTCATCGGTCCTCCTCCTGCATACCTCGGACACCCTATTCATCGGTCCTCCTCCTGCATACCTCGGATCTCCTTTTCGTCGGACGTCCTATTTGTCGGATCCCACTCATGTCATCCGCTTGTCCACTTGTCCACTTGTCCGCTTGTCCGCTTGTCCACTCGTTCCGCTCCTCCTGTATTCGTCAGACATCCTATTCATCGGACATCCTATACGTCAGACCCGCTCGGGTCCACTTAACCCCTAAGCATCGGACCCTAAACATCGGACCTACTCAGATCCTGAGCTTCGGACCCAGGTCCACTTAACCCCTAAAACATCAGATCCACTTCACAGTTCATCTCCATCCCCATTTCCCGTGATCCGCTTGACAGTTCATTTCCGGTCCTGCTCCTATTCTGTTACCCCATTTGTATAGTCCCCTTGTCCTAACCCCTATATGCCCGGATCTGTTTGACAGTTAATATCCGACTTCATTCTCGATCATACCTCCTATGCCTAGATCCATTTGATACTTCATCTCCATCTCTGTTCCTGTATTATTTTCCTTGCGCCTGTCAGTTTAACCTTTCCATATGTTCCTCGCGTTGACCCAGATCTCTGCTGACTCCGTCCCCGTCGCACATGTCCATAGTATATAATACCTTGTAAACTCATAGTAGTTTCCTCAGTTCGAATATCACCTTAGATTATCCTCATTCCTGTTTCCTCGGACCCGGATCCATTTCCATGGGCCCGGGTCCACTTCCCTGTCCAACCTCTGTGTCCTGGGATTGATTCCTCGGGCTATACTCTGCCTCTACCTTCGGGTAGTCTACCTCTGTCAGTTTCTACTCTGGACATTGTCTAGTGTAGTCTTACCTCTAGCTTCTGTCCTCTCGGACATACTGTCCTTCTGTCCCCTCGGACTTCCTGTCTTTCCGTCCTTACACCTGTCTGTTCTGTCCCCCATGTCGGCCGGACTAACCCTCCTTACGTCGGCCGACGAACCCCCTTTATGTCGGCTGGAATAATCCTCTTATGTCAGCTGGACTAACCCTCCTTACGTCGGCCGACGAACCCTCCTTACATCGGCCGGACTAACCCCCTGAACATCGGCCCAACTCTTCCTCGAAAAAGCCTACCAGACTTGTCCCCTTGAAGTCCACCGGGATTCATCATCCTCCCTCGGACTTTGTTTCTAGCCTTCGGAAATTAAGGGCACATACTCGGGTAAGGGGCGCAGTGCATGAGCTGAAGCCAAGCCCTTCGGATCCGCCCTTTGAGCACGGTCTTAACAAGATCTGCGGTACTTCAAGGGAGGTGAACGTGGCGAGATGACAAATTCATGGAATGGAGAACTTGGAGGCTGTGTTGTCAACGGAGGTCCACAGTACTTCAAGGGAGGTGAACGTGGCGAGATGATGAATTCACAGGATGCAGGAGACTGTGTTGTGGAAAGTGATGGAGATGCACAATAACATGAGTCCTGATCACAGTGAAATGAAAAAAATAGTTCAGCTCACCTGTGAGCCATGCTGCACTTATTCCGAAGACGTGGGTTGAGGCAGCGACCGAGATGCACGTAGTGCTGATGTCATACTGCATTGCTTACATTGAGTGGGGCCACAAAGGTGAGGCAGACTGTCCGCCACCAAGTTGCATGCTGGCGACCGAGATGCACGTAGCGCTGATGTCGTACTGCGTTGCTTATGTTGAGTGGGGCCACAAAGGTAAGGTGGACTGTCTGCCACCAAGTTGCGTGCCTGATGGTGCCCGTTGTGGGTACAACAATTCAGATTGAGTAAATCTGAAGTGTTGGGTCTGTCTGCTTAGCTGCTATGTCAGAGTGTTGACAGTGTAAGACCCAGGGTTTCTGGACCAGGCTCAGAGCCCAGAGAGAGGTAGCGAGTAAGGGAAACTGCATTCTAAGTCACACCAGGTGAAAGTAAGGGTGAAGACCAACATGATTATGTAAGCTATCCAAGTGCCAACACAAGCAAGGTAAATAGGGGTAAAGTAAGCCTAACCAGGAACTTGTTCCTACACCGTGCATCAGTGTTTGAGGCACATTTTCTGTAGAAGTAATTTGAGGCCGCCGAGCGGTAGAGGTCCTATACACGGGTTCATCCAATACCTTGAGTTCATGGCCATCATCTGAAAGTGAGTGGAGGGAGGAACAAGTGGAACTAAGTGGCATGACATCAAAAGGGTGTGCGGATGAAAATGTGTAAGACTCGGATCCCATAGAATCGTGTGTCCAATCTTCGACATCTGAGATGGTTGGCGTGTCATCGGGCATAGAGACAAGAGGGTCGGGAAAGACATATGATGATTCATCGAGAGATCGAGTTGAGGACTTCTGTTGGTTGTCATCCAGCTTCGCTAGCCCTAGCCACACTGATTATTAGTCAAATTCGAACAGAAGTGAATAATGACTCACTTTGTCTCATTGACTTGGGGAGTTTGACTGTGTTCCATTGGGATTTGTACCGGCAATGGCAAACAAGATCAGCAAATGATGAGAAGATGGAATACATGCTGTGAAGCATGTAGCTCTCATCACTGCCCACAAATGGATCACTTGTATGCAACGAGCTCTTGATGGCAGGAATGACGCAAAGTACACTGTTTCACCTTTCAAATTCGAATTCGGCGCACATCTCAATTTCAATGAGGTGTTTCTGGCGATAAAGGTTTCAGCGCAATTTGATGTTCCATGTTAAATCTACTCACATATTCAGCATGCAAATCCAGGTAGTCTATGCGAGATGTCTCATGATCAGATTCAGGTCGCATGGTTGTACTATTCTTAGTATGACAGGTAAGTTTTGAGACAACGATGAAAGGATGAGAGTTAAGAGGGGAACAACTCACGTTAATTGAGTCTTGAACATGAGTAAGCGAATGCATGCATAAGTACATAAGTACTAAGCGAACACAATGCATGTTATGCATGGTAAACTTGAATGGGCCATGATTCTGAAATGAGTCGATGACAATTGGTGGTGATGAACGTGCGACTGGTTAATTGAATGAACATGGGATGCAAACATAATGTTCTCTGATTTCTCGTAGTATATCACTGTGATAGTCTCAGAGTTCAGACTGTGACTGATTAGATCTATTGTAGTATCTCAGATTCAAAACTAATTCAATTGAGATTCAAACATCAAAATCGTAGTAGCGCACATCATTATGCATCATTATTGCTTGTAAATACATCATCAAATGCCGTTCTACTGCAGTACAATATGCGAAATGGTGTCTTCAAGCCTAGAGGCTTCATCAAGGAGTTCATCACTGCCCTCGTCCTCATCCTCGTCATCTCCTTCGTCATCTGTCTCTTCTCTTTCCAGGAGCGCAAATAGGGGTGGTCCAGTATTACCAGATAGCTGGCTGGTGCGATGTAGACAGGCACGGTGCACATTGTTCAATCTGTGCTGTTGCGCATAGTGCATCTGCAACTCCGCAGCGAGCAAGTCTGAGTCCACAGCATTCAGGGCGTCTATGGCTGATAGTATCTCCTTCTCTTTGAAGTCAACCCAAGTGCTGAGACGACTGATTTCGATGTTCAAGCGCGTAAGTTCTTCATGTGAACGCAAAACTTTAAAGAACTTAGCCGCCATCTCCTATTTTCAGGAACAGCCCATGGCTTAGCAAGGATGTCGCGACATGAATATTTCAAGAGTGTGAATTCGCCGAGTGACGTGTATCCGACAACTTCCGTATAGTCGAGAGTTGGTCGGGGCAGAACTTGGATTGGTGCCAGTGTGTTATACTTCTTGAGGGCGGTCCGAATAGCTCCAGATCTTCAAGTGATTGCTTTTGAAATATGCTTTCGCATTTTGTATCCTAGTCCAGATTAAATAAAAGCATGAATGACAAAAAAAAATCGCACCAGTGCCAGACAGATTAGCCCTCGATAATTCAAACAAACATTGAATGACAAGTCCTTTTAATTGCTCGACGGCCCGAGTGAAGCGACACTGGCTACAGTACTCACGTGCCTGAATATACTGAGGGTCAGAAGATACCCAGTGCTTGTTGATTCTGTAACAGCGCTCAAAGTCGTCAACAACGTTCATTTGCAATTGGAGTCGTTGTAAGGCTGATGCGCATTCAGCTTCAACAGCCCTAGAACTGTCGCGAGTAGTAGCAACATTCATTTGCAATTGGAGTCGTTGTAAGGCTGATGCGCATTCAGCTTCAACAACCCTAGAACTGTCGCGAGTAGTAGCATCGAGGCCTGAGGACCCCCGTATCGCTTCTTGGTTTAGCACCAAGTGGCACCTCAAACTAGGACCCCGGAAAAATATTTTCAACACTGCGCTCAACAGCGCACCACGGCGTCATCGACATCGAGAATAACCTTCCGACCCCTAGCAATACCATTCAAAGTAATAATTAGAACAACAAAAGAACCACAAAAATACCAATAGACCAAAAATGCCCCCAAAGGCACTCAACTCAACGACTGTCGTCACCCCAACCATAGGACCCTCTACCAGAAACGGAAGAAAGACCTTGGCAGACAAACCCCTGCTAGCCTTCAGCAAGCACAAGTCAGACCACACCGCAGGAATAGGAATATGCACAGACGTCACCAATGTAGAAACTGCAACAAGACTACTCACGACACACGGTATGACAATTCCATCAACAGGCGTTACCTTCGAAATCCTGGCAAACTGCCTCTTCGAATTCACCATCATCGCCAACCTCGGTGCCACAAACATAGACATTCTCAGAGCCTTCGCAATCACAATAGACGACATCAATCAAAACGAACAAATATCAACCATAACTCAAAAACTAACAGCCGCCCTCGAAACCCCAATAGAAAACCTAGAAGCCAGAGTAGAAGAACTGGAAGCATGCCTAACCCAACATAAATCAAACCTAGAATGCGCAGTAGTAGAGGTACGCTCCCAATTACATGATTCATCCGAACATATCGGCAAAGTAGTGGAAGACACCATACGAGCCACGAGAGAACAAGCAGAGACAGCCAACGTAGCAACACCCAGGTCTGAAGGACCAATGAACTACGCAAATGCAGTCAGAACAGGAATCTCTGCCCCACTAACCAAAATCCTTGCACGCAGTGAAGCCCAAACTAGACAGATACTAATCGACAAACGCTCAATACAAGATACAAGCACCCTCAAAGACCTCACAGAGGCCCAGCTAGTCGCGAAAGCAACATTAGCAATAGAACTCCTCAAGAAAAGCGGTAAAACACTCCCGGAAGGAATCACATTCCTATCAGCAAGAAAGCTCCAACATGGCGGAGTACTATACGAAGTCGACTCACCCCAAACCACCACCTGGTTCAAAGACCCAGCGAACCGAAGCGGCTTCCTCACACACTTCGGACACGACCTTATCATCAAAGACCGAACATACCAGACCCTTCTCGAAAACGTCCCAATAACATTCGACCCAAACTCTCCAGTATGCGTAACGGAGATAGAGGTAAAAGCAGGTTTTAAAACTAATGAGATAACAAAAGCCAGGTACATCAAACCCGTAGCCAGAAGGAACCCAGGGCAACGCACGGCACACGCGATATTCACATTCAAGTCCAAGAACGCCGCCAATCACGCAATTAGATTCGGACTAACGATAGAAGGTAGAAAAGTATACGGACGAAAACTAATACCAGAACCAGCACGCTGCTTAAAGTGCCACTCAATTGGAGGCAACCACATGGCAGCAGACTGCCCCCAAGATCACGACACATGCGGCACTTGCGGAGCAAACCATAGAACATCGACTTGCGGAGTCGACAACCCAGAACTCTACTTCTGCGTCAACTGCCAATCAAACGACCACGCAGCCTGGAACAGAGATTGCCCCACCTTTATCAGAAAATGCGAAACACATCGAGGACGACAAGAAGACCACCGCTACATCTACTTCCCCACCGACGACCCCCTCACATGGGACACCTACCCCGGCCAGAACGAAGAACAACAATGGAACAACAACGACCAACCCAACTGGAACCAGCCCCAACCGACAGGCGCCCCTCAAGGATGGAAGAACGTAGAAAAGAAGATTGAAACCCTCCGCCAAAAGAAGAACATCGAAAACCCCAACCACATCCCACTCAAAACGCAATCAAGACTCCCAGAAATGTGGACCAACCACGCACCGGACCCAGCAGCCTCCCTATACTCTGACAGACTCTCTTACCCCCCTAGTACCCAATGAATTGCCACAACGACACACCACTACCCCAGTTCAGAATTTGGCAGCAAAACCTCAGAAAATCAATTAACGCATGGGAACATATGCTAGCAGAACTCAACCCGGAAGTCTACGATCTCGCATGTATCCAGGAGCCTTACCTCAATCCAGTCAACCTCGCCAACGCATCAAACTTACGGAAATATTGGGACGTAATCTACCCGACAAATCACCACAGTGGAACCGAACGCACACAATCTATCCTCCTTGTCAACAAGAAACTATCCAAGAACAAATGGCATATAATCCCGCTCGAAACCCCCAATGTGACAGCTATAGAACTAACGGGCGATTTTGGCAAGGTGCGTATCTACAATATATATAACCCTTGCGACCACAACAGAACCATACGCTTCATGGAACGTCATATGACGTCCGAACATCAGAACAGCCTGCTAACACGCCCTAACGGGGCAGAACAAGAACCCCAGACGAACCTTATATGGCTGGGGGATTTCAACCGACATCATCCGATGTGGGAGTTACCAACTAACGAACACCTTCTCACCGCAGTAAACTTAAATGCTGCGGATATACTAATTAATCTACTTGCAGCATATAACCTTGTACAAGCGCTCCCCCCGGCAATAGCCACATTAGAAGCGTCCAACTCAAAAAATCTCACAAGGCCCGATAACGTGTTCTGCTCCGCAGAAATTATAAATATGTTCACGCAATGCTCTGTTGAATACCAGCTCCGCCCCATTATAACTGACCATTTCCCCATCATTACCTCTCTAGATCTCAACCCAGAACGCATCCTCGCCAACCCAAAACTCAACTACCGCGAAACGGACTGGAAGAAATTCAACGAGACATTGGCAACCAAGCTCGAATCGTTCCCACCGCCCAAACACATCACCTCCCCCACCCAATTCGAAGACACCTACTCCCAACTCATCAACGCCATCACCGAGACCGCCAAAGAAACAATCCCAACGGCCAAACAGTCGCCATATTCCAAGAGATGGTGGACATCCGACCTCAACAACGAGCGCAAACAAGTCAAGAAACTCGGATACAAGGCCAGATGCAAACTTGCACACCGTGACGACCCCATACACGACGAACTGAGAATAGCAAGGAACAAACTCTCCGAACACATCAAGACCGCCAAGAAAGACCACTGGGAAGAGTGGCTCGAATCGCTAACGCTCACCGGCACCTGGGACTTTCACCGCTACGCCTCAAGCTGCCCCAACGACCAATTTCACACCCGGATCACAACGCTCAAAGACCCAGCAACAAATAACGACACCCCAAGAAACGCAACACAAGACAACGCACGCAAAAGCAAGATACTATACGACACCTTCTTTCGACAACAACCAGCAGACGACTACGTAGACCCTAACGCTAACTACCCCCCCCCCCCCCCGATTTGTACATTCGAAAACATTACTGACGCGCAAATTCACAGAGCCATAGCGAAACTTTCACCATACAAAGCACCAGGACCTAATGGAGTATGTAACTGTGTATTCACGAAGTGTACTGACGCTCTTGTACCCTATATGGGCCCCCTATTCCGGGCCACTTTTACACTAGGTATCTACCCAGAAGAATGGAAGAAGTCATCGACAATTGTACTAAAGAAAGCCCGGCCGCCCGGACTACAGCTTGCCCAAAGCTTATCGACCCATCACGCTATTAGACACGATGGCAAAGGTACTTTCATCTTGCGTAGCTGACGATTTAGTTTATATAGCGGAACAACACGACCTCCTACCCCAAACTCACTTCGGCGGCCGCCCCGGAAGATCCACGGTAGACTCAATCCATTTACTAACTAAGTTTACAGCCGACGCCTGGGCCTCAAAAGAAAACCACGTCTCAATGCTCTTTCTCGATGTTAAGGCCGCTTTTCCCAGCGTGGTAGTAACACGCCTCCTACACAACATGAAAATGAAAGGATTCCCGGAAGAATATATCGAATGGTACCGACGCCGACTCAGCAACCGATCCACGACACTCGTTTTCGACGACTACGAATCGGAAACCTTCAATGTAGAAAATGGAGTGGACCAGGGCTGTCCACTCTCGGTAATCGCCTTCCTCATCTATAACGCTGACGTACTCGATGTAGCAGATCGCAACCCCAATCGAGGCGAACTCAGCCTAGGCTTCATAGATGACATCGCACTCATAGCTAAAGGTATAACTTTCGAGGATGCTAACGCGAAATTGATTCATATGATGGAAAAGCCCGGCGGGGCCTTAGACTGGAGTAGAACGCACAACGCTGACTTCGAACTAGACAAAACTGCCCTCATCTGCGTCTCAAGAAGACGAACCCCTGACCCAGCAAACCGAAATAAGACCATCCCAATCACACGCCCCTCCATCACCATTCGCCAACACACCATTCAACCATCCAATACGCACAAGTTCCTAGGGGTGATCATAGATCAAGAGTTACGTTTCAGGGAATACGCCTCGTTCGCACTAGCAAAAGGGACCAACTATATTATGGCCTGCAATAGAATGATGAAGCCCACGAAGGGAATCCACGGACGGCTTCTACGCAAGCTGTATGAAGGTGTAGTCGTCCCCAAGATGTTATACGCAGCTGATGTCTGGTGCGCAGGACTATTAGAAAAGGGCAGGGGGAAGAAGAACGGAGGACGAGGGGCAAGAGGCTTCGCGGCAAAGATGACGAGGGCGCAGAGGATGGCAATGTCGATGATCACCGGCGGGATGCACTCTACCGCAACCGACGTTATGGATGCACACGCAAACATACCTCCATTCCAGCAACTCCTCAGAAAGATCTGCTACCGTGCTACTCTACGAATGTCCACACTCCCCCCATCCCACCCGCTCTTTAGGGGAATCAAAGCCGCCTACACGAACTGCGCCACACACAACTTCGAAGCAACAAGAAGATTCCCCTCGCCAATCCACTCACTCCTGAAAGCATTCCACATTGACCCCAACAGCATGGAGAAGATACTCCCAACACGTCACTACACGAAATGGCACCCAGATGTGAACACAGAGATAGCGCCGGACATGGAGAACGCACTCATAGCAGACGAAACAGCGACGGAGAGCATCCGCGTCTACTCGGACGGCTCAGCCATAGATGGGGGAGTAGGAGCCGCCGCAGTGCTAATGAGAGGAGAGGAAGAGATAGACGCACTGAGATTCTACCTGGGATCAGACGAGGACCACACCGTCTACGAAGGAGAGTTAGTGGGAATGGTACTAGCAGTAGAACTGCTCAGAGGAGCAGCAGGAGACGACGACACGATGGCTCTAGGCGCTGACAACCAAGCGGCAATATTAGCAATGCAAGCGTTTAGATCGAAACCGGGACATTACCTCATGGACATATTTCACGACGACCTCCAAATCGTCCTACCAGAACAGGACAAACGCAAGCTAATTATCCGCTGGACACCAGGACATTGCGGGATCAACGGGAACGAAGCCGCTGACACCCACGTGAAGAGAGCCGCTAGAAAGGAAACATCAGACACCAGACGACTCCCCCAATCACTTCGCTCACGCAACTCACCCATCATCCTCCCAAGAAGCAAAGCAGCCGCCAAGCAGCAATTCAACGTTATCCTGAAAAACGAAGCCAACGAAGTCATGAAGAAATCACCCAGATACGAACAAATGCGCAGAATCGACCACTCCATCCCATCCAAACACTTTGCAACCCTCATCGCCAAACTCCCTAGACGTCATAGCTCTCTCCTCTTCCAACTACGAACCGGACACGCCCCGCTAAATAAGCATCTTCACAGAATCAGCAAAGCACCCTCACCGAAATGCCCCAGATGCACGAGAAACGAAACCACGCACCACTTTCTCATAGCTTGCCCAGTGTACGCACGACATAGGACCGCGCTTGTCGATGAAATCGGAACACGCGCATACGACCTGAAATACCTTCTAAACCACTCAGACTGTATCAAACCCGCACTCAAGTTCATAGCCAAAACCCGGCGCTTAGAAACTATCTTTGGAGACGTGACCCCGCCACCCGACGAAGAAGACGCAGAGGAATAGAAGAAGAAGAAGAGAAAAGAGAAAAGAAAAGAAACCCAAGAACAGTCACCCAGATCACACCCTATCGCCTTCAGTTGGCCTTAACGCACCCCAAGTGGGCGCCATTGAGAAGCAAAACATTAAATCCATATATATCGCACACACATAGAGATACAGTATGTACTGTCTACCATAGGGCAAGGCCCCAGAGGACAATAAACAATGAACAAAAAAAAAAAAAAAAAAAAAAATTGAGGCCTGACAATTGCATAAAGTTTGCCGGAGTGTATGTGAGAAAAGGGACGCTCGTGACACTCCCACACTTAGGTGCGCTAGTTTCCATCTCTTGGGCCATCTCCTCAATGCTGAAGTCCTCCAGCTGCTTTGTAGTTGTACTCAATGCACCAAAATGCCATCCTGCACGCTCAGATGACATTTCCTGTATGTCGGTGATGTATTGTTCATGAACGAGCTGACGCACAGAGTTTACTAATGTGTCTTCCTTTGAAGGATGCCGCAGAAATGCTGCGAGTATATCAGGTGAGTGCACTACTAAATCTCGCACAATATGATGATTATTGTACTGTTGGCTAGTGAGTAATGAGAGGATAAACTGGAATGGTGCAATGCTATTTCTTTCCAAGACGTTGGTGATTTCTTCTACTGCACGCTGCATTGACATGATATGAGATAACCGGTAATGAAATACTCGACATATATTGCATTGTGTCTAACCCTACGTTCAGTCTTAGCACTTAAAATTGACATTCTGCTACGTTATACATTGTGGCTGATGCTATTGACAAATGTTTTCTTCCAGCTGCTACTGAAAGTGTGAGGGGAATTAAAGTTGGGCTGGGTTCAAAATTTGCTGGTGCACATGACTCTCAATTTTATCTACCTCACTCGAGGTTGCCCCTCCACACTCGAATGAAGCGGTGGGAAGGAGCCGGAAGGGTGACAAGATTTCACATCTATATGCTCAGGAGCCCAAGATGTTTGATAAAGCAGTGGGCAATCACGTTGGAAGATAAGTGGTTTCTATTGGTCACATTTGTAGCTACTAATTTAATTCAAAGTCTTAAAAACCTGTTCAAGGAGTAGTTGGACACATTCCATCAGACTGGCACTGGTGTCACTCTGACACAGAATTTTTTTTCACTATTCTTTTTTTATATTTGATTTAACTTATTTGATTTTCAGAACAGGCTTTACTCAATTTTCTGTGGTACAACCAGCTTCACCTGTTCCTATTCTCCAACCCACATTTGGTGCCAAAATCTTCACCTCCCAATAGGGAGTCGATCATGCAGCAGACTTCTATGGACTTGTTGATCCATGGCTGGTCCCTCATCTCACCAACATGCCCCTGGCCCTCAGCTCCCTTCCTCCCCTTTGCAGCTTGCTCCTCCCCCCCTTTGCAGCTTGCTCCTCCTCCCCTTTGCAGCTTGCTCCTCCCCCCCTTTGCAGCTTGCTCCTTTTTACCACAGTCGTGTGGTGCTTTTGTCCGGTGGCCAAGCACCGCATAAACCCTCTCATTTGCTTCGTCATTGGGAATGTCGCACAGCCACTCATTTCCTTCATCCACAGCATCTTTGTCACCCTATATATCATTCAACTATTGCCTTTCATTGACAGCATCCCAGATGTCTTTCTCCGCAAAACTGCGGAGCTCCGCAAGCTCAAAGAAAAAGAAGAGGACTTCGGTAATGCACATGGAGGGTCACATAAGCATACTCAATGACGAGATCCAGAGCATGCATAGTGACGTCTGAGCGCCAGGAATTGAAGAACAAATATTATATCATGAAGATGAATTACCAATCCCAGAAGAACAAATACTTGTGGCGCATTGAGTCTCATTCACATGATGTCCTTATCGCGACTGCCACACATCAATACAAGCAGGAGGCCAAGGACAAGGAAATCTTTCGCCTTCAGGCTGCAGCTGCCTTGCAGGAGAGGGAGGCAGAGCCCTGGTGTCTCAAGATACAGTATGAGACCATGAGGCTCCATACTGGGGGTGGAGATGTTCATGGTCCCTCATCATCATCACTCTGATTGTGTTTTCGCTTTTTTTTGTCCTCATCATGTCATTTTAATATACATTTCTTTAATTTATATAGCATTGTAGTAGTACATGTACCTTCTGATTGCCAATGTGACTATGGTTCTTTCAAGTTACCCTTCCCTATGTTTAGTGCTTGTGTAAGACTGTCAAATAGTGGATCCATCATCCTCAAACAAGAAGCTTGCCCTGGGGTACCCTCATAAGACTTGTCACCCACAACTTCATCTCCATCGGGATCTTCAAGCTCTCAAGCTGCAGATTCTCTAGCCTCTCATTCGGCCCATCTTTGAGAACAGTGAAAATTTGCATTCTCCTTGCAATAGTGAGCTTTATATTAGATGATCATGTTGTGCAAGATGATGCAACATACAGTGGCTCAAAAAGTGTCTGGATGTTTGTGCAATTTTGAGTAATTGGATCATAGCAAGCCAGCACCTAAATATAACATATTGTGGCTCGAATCTGAGCTATGTAGCGTGGTAATAAACCCTTATATGGGCAAGATATGGTAATTCTATTCTTATGACTCATTCGGACATTTATTTGACTTTATATTAAAATCACAAAATGAGACCATTCATACATAATAATCTTAATGAAAGTGGTACCATAATCATAATATGGTCTGGTTTTAATATTATTTGAATATATAAACCCACATAAGATCATGAAATTTAACATACTCATCATGAAGCCCATCTCCTTTGCTCAAAAGGATAATATCCTTGTTCTCTCTACCTCTGGTTTATCTATCAGGAACAATGTCGAGGTGTGGGCGCTTAGTACAACAGAAGTTGAGGTCAAATGGAAGGATCTGGATAAAGCGGACAGAGATGATGTGCTTACTGTATTGGATGCAAGGAAAGTGTATGAGAAGGGAAAAGGATGGCTTGATGCGCTGAACTTTCTGTGGACAGACTATGTTGAGCTTCCTGGAACTTTGCATGAGGACACATTTGAGGCCAAAACAGCAAAGTTCTTCAACATGGTGTGTTCCTCGCATTTGACATTTGAATAGGGCTGAAGACAACACCCCAGGTGGCGGCAGAATACCGAAATTATGATTATGCCTCTAAGCAGGAGGTTCTTCCCCAGTGGGAGTGGGTGTTTTGAATCATCGGCTGGTTGGGGGTCGTCACAGTCCAGATCTTGTTCTCGTCGAAAAGGGCTGTGTCACAGGCTACAAAACAGGGACATGCAACTCGCCCATGCTACTGAACACCGACTGCAAGTGCACATCAATGTTATTAAAGATCTCGAAATTCACTCTGGGATTTCTGAACATTGGACACCGGATCATGAAGAATATGTCAAGGCTCTAGAGTATAGCCGTTGCCGGCACTTCATTCACACTGTTGAAGCACTTGAAAGTCTGGTTGTACAGCACTTATTTGAAATATTCAAAGCTAATTTGATGTTTTGTTCATTTGTACTACTAATTCACTAATTTAGGGTATAAACTCTGGAAACAAATTTCCAAAGCTATTGTGAAGCATTCTGGTGCAATCCGCACTGCACTGGACAATTACAATAAACTCACTGTCTCGCAAAGTCCACGACAACCTACACTACAGTATAGCAATGTCGTATCATGCGCAGTGCTTGGCGAGTTTCATCTTCTCAAATACTCACAACACAAGATACTTACCAAACCATGGATGAACCCCACTCACCGTGAGATGGTGGTGAAACATTTCAAGGTTCTCCACGCTCGGGAGGAGATTATCAGGCTTAATGTCGAAATTTGCCGGTTGCAAGCATGGGTCGTTACAGATGATGCTGATATGGAACGAGTGGCTGCAGATCTTGAGTCAACCAATGGCCCACTCGCAGCCAAATTGCAGATGTGAGCTCATTGCTGGCACAGAATTAACACTGTGCACCGTGATCGCCTCAAGCACATCTATCACCAGGAGTGATACACTGGTTGTGCCCCCATCACCTGGATGTGGGCAATTCCTCAGAAATTGAGGAAGCAGATGTTGAGAAGTCAGATGATGATGGAGATGGTGAGGAGGCTGCAAGTTACACTCGTACTTTATACCTTGTCATTTAGATGTGAATGCAATCAGAGTGCAACTCTATGAAGATAAGCAAATGTCAGAATAAACAAATGCCAGTCAAGACATCCTAGCACAACTCTATGAAGACAAACAAATCACATGCTTTGTGATTGAGGATTGATAAAGTGCATGTAGTAAGGTATGGTGTTACGCTTACCAATACTTACTAGACCATGCACCTGACCATTAATTCTGGCACATGCTAACAATGTGTTTTTCAATTCTTGCTTTCTGTTCACTCTCAAAATGTCTAAAAGAGACAGCACATTTGCCCTATAATCTGAAGCACCAGATGGCCATCTGTTTCAGCCCCTTCATCGTTTAGCATACTTAGATCTTGTGTTTTCAGACTACAATACCGATCTGGTGGTTAGTCTTGTCTCCATCATGCAATCATTTGCACTGATCAATTCTTGTAGCACAACTATCTGACTATTTGTCATATCCCATACCTGAACCTTCTCGTCTGGTCTGGTTCACCCGGTTCCTCAAGCCCGGTCTAGAATTCATTTCCCCTGAGTCCCCATTTGTATGCACTTCTTTCTGCCCCTATATGCCTAGATCCTTCTGACAGTCAATATCTGGTTTACATTCTGATCCTTCCATTAGTCTGTTCATTTCCGGTTCATTTAACTTGTTCCCTTTGTTCCATTTAATATCCGGCTCCATTCTCAATGGTCCGCAGTATGTTCATTTCCATTAGTGCAATTCTTACATAGCCTTATGTTCCGGAGACTACACTTTGGCCAGATACCCGTTGGAAGTACTACAGTATATAAATCCTCTGTAACCCATAGTATTTTCCTTATTTCAAATATTATATTAGACTCTGTTCATTCCTTGTGTTCTCTTGGCTTTTGGGATTATCATCCCAGTCCAACCCTCTGAGCCTCAGGATTATATCCATAAGGCTAAATCCCTCCGCCTCTACCTTTGGGTAGTCTGTACTTCATTAGTTTCTACCCAGACTTAGTCTCGGTAGCCCTACCTCTCTCGTCCGGCCTAACCATACTGCCTCGGCCGACAATATCTATCCCCCGTGAATTGGGGGCATGTACTTGGGTAAAGGGCACAGTGCACGACCTGAAGCCAAGCCCCTCCGGTCCGACCCATTGAACACGGTCTTAACAGTATACTTGAACTCGCACTTTACTGAGTATACTTACCATCATGGCTCCCACTCAGACAACCAGAACAAATGCATCCAACACAGAGAACTTCACCAGTTTTACTTGTTGTCGTATGAGCGTACTAAGAACCCCGGTAGACAGCGTCTCGCAGATCATGGACTGCCCACACCTGGAAACTCCTACTTGCCCATCCACCGCCGGACCATCAGACCTGGACGGGCCTAACAACGGTGGTGATGATTCAGATCCGCCGGGCGGCAATGGGGATGACCCATTTGATGGGCCCCCAGAGGATGAAGACGATGGGCTGACCCCCACAGACAGAATCTTCCTCCACTTCTCTCAAGCCATAGAGAATTGCCCACAATACATGGAAATCCCCATCCAAAGACTCCAAAATCAAGGTTCGCAAACCCAACACCTTTGATGGGTCCGGAACCCCATAGACTCCACGCATTCGTTGTTCAATGTGAACTCAACTTCCAGAACAAGGCCCGCTCCTTCCGCTCAGACTGGGCTAAAGTCAACTTCACCCAGTCCTACTTGAGAGGCATGGCCCTGGAGTATTTTGAGCCTGACCTCCTGTCCGGTGCTACTAATGATCGCCTGGACTGGATGGATGACTATGCCAAGTTTATGTTAGAACTCCAGACCAACTTTGGCCCTCATGACCTGGTTGGGGATGCAGAAATGCAACTCAAACAACTTGTTATGTGTGAGGGTCAGCGCATCAATAAATACATAGTAGAGTTTCAACGACTTGCATCTCAGGTCCGAGGTTGGTGCAACGGTGCATTGCGCCATCAGTCCTACAACAGACTTCTAGCCTGCATCAAGGACAAAATTTGTTGTCAGGGCAAACCTACAACCCTCACCGAGTTCAGATCCCTATCCCAGTCTATTGACACCCAGTACTGGGAATGCAAGGGCAAGACCTCCTGCGAGGTTAAGCCATCCACATTCACACCTCCTATGAAACCATCTGCACCTCCCATCCAATCCTTCACACCCGCTACTGACCGGTGTAGAGAGCAATATCTCTACAGGCTCGTATCCCCCTATTTCCACATTGACCTCATCACTATCCATAGGTAGGCGCAGCCCTATAGGCAACTGCGAGGCACGCGCGACCACTCATGCCCTTGCGCATGATATGCGCGAGTCACGCACATAGCTACTCACCAGCGCCCTACTCAGATTACCCTCACATGTCATGTCCTGTCTGTCCGGCTCCGTTGGTGCGTGTTCTCACTGTTATATCTGTCGCTGACCACATCCAGGGTCCTTTACATATAGACTTATCACATATCCGCTTCCCTATGTGCTTCCACGCAGCCTATCCGCTTCCTTTACGGTTCCACACCCTGAGAGCACGTGTAGCGACCTACATATCTAGAAGACTTAGAGGATTTTTGGACGTACGTACCTTCTGTTACTTGGACTTACTATCTGTTTTTCTGACGAGTCGCGCATAGAGCGCTAATATCATCACTCCATTGTCTATCATCTCCTTTGTCTTCTAAGACTCGCCTATCAGTTCCCAGAAGAGATCCTATTGACTTCCGTTGCCGATTCTCTACTTCACGCATATCGCACACCTTCCGACTCTTCCGCATACCTTGCGCATCGCGCATGTTCATCGCATCAACTTCGCGCATCTTTGTGCGCCTTCACATATCTTCGGCATCAGCTTTTCTCTTAATCCCTCTCATTATCAGAGAGATTGTCTCAGTAGAATCCCCTAAGGGATGATCCTACTAGCTCGCCTCTCGAGGTAGATACCTTTGTGACTCCCCAGAGTACACATCTCTATTTTCCTCGCCCACACCGGACAATCTCTTCCAGAAGTAAACCCTTCCAACCCTCCACCTCCTCCTCTTCACAACAACTGGACCTGTCCTCAAAATTGGGCAAGGACGGTAAACTGATGTCAGAGGAGCGCCAGAGGTGCATCATCAGCAAACTACTGGTTTTGAGTCCAGGATTTTGACAGTCATCACAGAATCACCAAAAGTCACAGTGTGTCACAGAGTGCACACAGAGCATCACAGTTACACAGAGCACCACAGAGCACCACAGAACACAGAGTTCTACTGTAAGAGCTGTACAGAGCTTACAGGCTTGTTATTTTGCTGATACAAAATTTAAAATCACTACTCAATTAATATTTGTGAGTATACATACATATGGAAGCTAATAGGTTAAGATCCAAGCAAAATACTCCAAAATGTGAAAATTCACAAGTCTTTTCCTTGTCAATCTAATCCTAGTCTAATCTCAACCCCAACCCTATTAACCAAAAACTCGAAAATTCTACTAAGTCTTGTGATGTGGCTTTGTTTGGCACTGCTTATATAAGCAAAAGTGCGGTCAACCACAAGTCTTTTCTGATTTTTTCCTTTCTTTCCCTCACTGTCTTTCTCTAACAACAATTTTCGAGTTTTTGCTTCTTTTCTCTTGTTCTTCCTTTGGTGTTGGTGTTGTTGGTGCTGGTGATGGTACTGGTGCTTTGAACTCTGGTGAGTCTTCCTCTTTCTTTGTGTTCAATTGAGTTCTCTTTCAATTTCTTTTACACTTTGTAGCTATCTCTCTTCCTCCTCTCTTTAATTTTCGCATTTTTACCTCTCTGACCCTCTCCTTCTAGCTCTCTTCCCTCCTCACCAGAAATTTTCGCATTTTTGCCTCTTTGGTAAGTCTTCCTTTCTCTCTCCTTCTCCTCCTTCCCTCTCTGAAACTCTCCTTCTAGCTCTCCTCCTCCTTCCCTCCAACAATTTTCGCATTTTTTGTCCAGTTTAGTAAGTTTAATATTTTCTTAGTCAGTAGTGTACATATCAGTGTAGTAGTTACTTTGAATTTGACTTCAATTTTCACATTTTTAGTGTTTTGATTGTAAGAGTCTAATAGTCTTCTGATGATTCTGTGAGCCTCTGTTGAGATTCTGTACTACACTGTACAACTCTGTATAATGTCAATACTGCACTCTACAGAGCTGTACAGAGAGAACCCTCTCTGTGGGCTTTGTGGCTCTGTCCAGTACTGTCCAGGGTTGTACAGAGGATCCCTGGTTTGCTGATGATGGACATGAGGCTCTGCCTCTTCTGTGGCGGACCCAGCCATACGGCCCGGGACTGCTCCAAGTCGACCTTGCGCGCTGCCAAAGGCCGCGCAACTACAGTGGCCCTGGATGCTATTCCCGAGGCCCCTGTGGAGGCAAAAAACTAGTCCGTGACCCTGCTGACTCCGCGCGGAGTGAGGGTCGCATTGACTCAACCCGCTCACTGGGGTTATGACTCAACACTGTCGCACTCACAAATCCATCATCACTCTGTCCATACAGAATTTTCACACTCATACTTATACTGCAATGTCTCTAATCTTCCCACCAGTCATAAAGCCAGTGACCAACAAGGCCATAACTCAGAGTTTTTTTATGTATTCAACCTGCAAGAAACTCTTTTTCTCACTTTCCCATCCCAGCTGTTTTGACCCTGAAACTATGATCCTCAATCACTAATCATGTCTTTATGTACGTATAACCTTTCAGTATAAAGATGAATGTAGATATATAAGTACTTGTTTTGTGCACATACTGCAGACCTTCCTACAGCCAAAGATCTTAGTGACAATCAAGAGGTGCATTGGTTGACACTAAACTACCTTCCAGGCTAGATGCTAGCCTACAGTTCAGTTGTCAAATTCATGCATGCAGTTTTCCTCAATGCATTGCTTTGGTATCAATGTACAATCTTTGCACTAACATTATCACTAACATTATCACAAACTATGATCAACCATCTCAATAGAATCATTATCCTCAAGTCTGGTCCTCTAAATGGAACAAGACATATCAGACTCATGAAGAAACTCAAAGATTTATACTCTAGACTTGTGTAACTTGTTGAGGCAACTTGACTACCACCTTTGGTAAGCAGACTGTAAATTATGAATGTCTCAGTGACATGATGTGGAGTGCATAATGGTATGGGGGCTAGGTCGGCCAAGAGAAGTGGGTGTTATTTTGGACCTCCTGCAGGATCAAAGAGAGATGAACATTGGGCTATACTTGTGTCATAACATTCCAGTCATTACCCTTGGACAATGTCTGCGGCTGCTGAAATCACATTTTATCATCTGTCCCCCTCATACTTGGTATCTCTGGATAATTACTGTGACACATCCTTAGTCCTACCTCCAAATGTTGATTTTTTTTTCCAGCTACTGTTATCTGATCAATGGGGCTTGGCCTTGATAGCTCCAACACTACCTCCACATCCTCTAAACTTAATTTCTTGGGGGAATTCCACCAACTTCGTGTTGCAGTTGCTTAATGTTGTCCACAGTAGCCTTGATTTAGATACTTTTCATCTTGCATAAAAGGAACACACACAGCAATGGGCCAAGGATACGCTAAGCCACCACAGTCCAGTCTTAAATGGCATGTCTTGGACCCCAGATGCAATCAGTCATTTGGTCATAATGCCCTTGAGGATACATGATGAGTTCAATGTTATTGAGTACCTTAAGTCCACTTTTATGAGGCCAGTGGGATGCGGGGCAACCTGCTTGTTCCAAATATCAAGTCGATCCAATGATGACCTATTGGGTTTCCCATTCCCTCTACAACAGTGTGCCTTCTATTCTTAAGCTATGAGCGGGCATCAGGAAGGCCTGTTGTTTAGGCTTGACATCAGCTTTCAACCCAAAAGAACAACAACCTACACATATCCCCCTCATACCAATATCAACCAGATGACAACAATGTGTTGGCTGCCACACTGTTAGATCTAAGGGTTTTTATAGCTCATTTCTTGGTGAATAGTTCAGGTCCAGGTGGCACTGCTTAGTTGTTCTGTCTATTGGTCACATCAGTAGGCATGACCCTAGATAACACAGACATTGAAAGTCATAATTTGCAACAGCCTGGTACCCCAGTGATTGCAGGTGCGTTGGGGGAAATATAATAATGGTAGGTTTTCCCACATCTTACACCCACATTTCCCTAAAATTCTGGACTCCAGAACAACCTATTATTACACATTTTGAACTGACTGATTTCATGACTATTCCAGATGTGCAGTCTTAGTAAAGCCATTATGAGATCAGAGGTCTCACCATCCGATATAAATTCTCCCCAACCTATTTTCACTAAGCCTGTGACGGGGACCCCAGAGTCATGGAGACTGTCATATTCCATACCTGAAGCTTCTCATCCGGTCCGGTCCATCCGTTCTCTCGGGTCCATTCTAGAATTCCTTTCCTGTGTCCCCATTTATATATGCTTCTTGCAGCCCCTATATGCCTAGATCCGGACATGCAGAATCAGTGATGAGATCATAAACATTGAGAGTCTTCCATTAAAGTTGATTATAGATGGAGTGGGATGTGTGTGAGTCATACTGATTTCTATTGTTTGGTTGTATTTATAGTTTTTGATCAGTCTTTGTAAGGTGGGTAGGGACATGATGAAATGTATCCTTTGGTGCCTCTTGTAACTTACCTAAATATTATGGTAAATCCTGTATTTAAAATTGAAGCAAATAACTTAAGTTTTATATTCAACTTGAACCTTCCTCTATGCAGTATAATTTAGAGGACAATGATACCTACTATCTCAGGGTTGACATGTTTGAATAGCAGTGTGTCTGTAAAGCAAGTAAACACAATCCTGCACCTACTTGTCACAGGAGCACTAAAATGAGCCAAAACATATGCTAGTACAGCTAATACCTGACCTGGTTGCACAGGGATCTTGGATTCCAAGCTGTAGAATGCAGAATTCTCCACCCTCCCAGTCACCGACTGCAAAAATATAGGTGTAGATGGCTCTATTGTCATTCCAGTCCAAGTGCATAACACTTGACCCGGCCTCTTTAATCGTAACAGCAAAAAAAGGCTGCCTATGTCTACCCTGGGCCAAGACAATAGATGAAGGCCTAGATGCTGATGGACATGAGCATATCTCTTTCCATTTTCTAAGCTCATTCAGCCACTCAGATATGTTTATAAGCATGTCATGTGACTGGTAAAAAACTGATTTGTAAGGATTCAGCTTGACTCATCATGCTTTATGTTGTTTTATTCATGAACTTTAGTAAGCGGCTGATTCTGAGTGTTGTCTCTGTCTATATGTTTATTTGCAGTCTTGATCATAAATTCAAACCCAAATAAATCACCTAGCACTTGTGCATTTGGTGCAACAACTTTGGTTCCACTGCAATATTAATTATCACTAATTTTTTAGTATCATCAAAGGAAGACAAGGATGATGACAAGGATGATGATGATGATGTTGCTGACAAGAACACCAGTGATGAGGAGAAATACATGATTCATATGGCATCATCCCTTCTCAATGGCTATGTGTTTCTATTTGTGGATCTCAATATGTGCAAGCCCTCTAAAATTTACTACATCAGCTTCATATTGCAATTGATCACAATGACTCATCTTAAACAAGTCACAGGCTTTGTTGATGCACCTAAGCTTGAATACATACTCTGTCTTCAACAAAGATGGAAAGTGTGGTCACCACTTCCACCATTGCTATAAGTCCTGTCTTTATATTCAAACAATGGTCAATCATTACTACTATTTTATAGCTCAAATGTACTTTGAAGTTAGTCACAGATAAGGAGAAGAAGAGCACAGCTCTCAAAACTCCTTAAGCTCAACAAAGCCACTAGCAAGAAAAGCAGTGTTGTACTGCCTTTTTCCAAGTTGAATTGGGGGAGATTGATGCAAAATTACCACCTGTCCCTTATGAAGCACAGCCCAAGGTATACAGCAGACACAGTCAAGATGGCACATCAATTTCTTAAGGATATAAGCTTAGAAGTAAGCATCAAAGACTCTCTTGCTGGGATGGTGTTGCAGTTTCTGGAGCAAGCAGGTACTGTTCTGTAAGTATTTTTGTCTTTGTTCTGTGCTTTATTAAGGTACTTTTTCGACAGAAAATCCTCCACTGTGTCTTTTTCAGGTTCTCAACTATTTTATTCTTCAAGCAATACCTACATAGTCTCATACTACTAATGCATCATCTGTATACATGTTCTTCATCACAAGCCGTCTATACTATCACCCACTTATTCTATTTTTTTTGTTGACAGTATCACATTTTTGAAATAAGTATTTCTAACAACCTCATATAAATAAATTGGAAAGGTCAAGAAAAGTTCACAATGAGTAGAAGGATCTATGAGGGACCCCACTGGACAATAATTAATATTTGAAAAACATTATCAAACTTTGCTCACATAGTGAAAACTCTTACTAGTATGACAAAAACTTTCCCGGAATGACAACCCCGAATGTGTGTACAATGTAACATTCATTTTTTATTAGACAGCTGATACTTTAGGAGTCTCTGGGCTGCCATCATAACCCTGTGTAAGTTACTCAGTATATCAATACAATGTGTCATGTGACTAACATGTCGTGTCATGCATTGTTTAGTGTGTCACAACTATAAGTTACTAGTAATGAATATAAGTTGCCTTCCTTACTTTCCTCTCCAGTGGACTGTAAGTACTGCACTTAAACCTGCCTATTCTCAAGGCTTCATTATGTAAGTGAGTACATGCTTCTCTTTAACTTAATTTTATCGTCACACACCTCCCTCTCCTCTGTCTTTTCTTCCCTCCTCTAGAAATATTTAATTCTTTCTATCATTTCTCATAATGCATGATTCTCCAAATTCAGGTAAATGTAGTGTATGTGACCATGACTGTGCTAGAGTCACTTTGTGATAGGATAGAGTACAGTTCATTATACCTTCCTAATCTTTTATATATGCACACATGTCACGGTATGAACTGCATACCATGCATGACAGTGTGCTGTTGAATATATCTATTTTTTTATTATTACTCATTGTGCAATCGTCAGGAAGTATAGGCCTAGGAACCAGAGCACCTATTCAGCCTCATTAACAAGCTTTCCTCTTATGGTGGATAACTCATCAACAATAAGTTTCTTGATGCCGTCCGTGCACTTGGTGACTACGTAGAGAGGTGGGTATTAGTGGTAGATAGAGCCAGTAAAAAATGTACTGTGGTCAGATGTGTCAGAAGCTTTGGAGAGACATTCTGCAACAACAAGATCCAAGTCGCTATTCTTCTGCCAGCCACTCTCCAGGAGCATGTTGAGAATAATTAGTTTACGAGCTTGCTTGATGTTCTTTAGGTTTGTTTAGCATGTTCTGTCATTAAGCTTCACTCATCACCATCAAGATCATAGATGCTTCCCAATGCCCTTGATGTGTGACAGCTGGTGGTTCGTAATGATGGGATCAAATATGGATGTAGACATTCCTGTGATGGGAGTTGTGAAGATCTTTGGTGGAACTAGTGTTCAAGCAGGACATTGTGTATACAACAAATCCACTGAAGAGCAGAAAATGTTGGGTCTTGCTGCCTAGCTGCTATGACAAGGTAGACAGTGTCAGACCCTAAAGGGTTTCTGAACTAGGGAGTGCTCAAGCAGAGAAAGAGAGAGAGAGGGTGTGTGTGTGTGTGTGTGTGTATGTGTGTGTGTGATGTACACCTTCGTGCCCTGGGACCCATCTTAGCATGATGTTGTAGTTCGGGTTGGTTTTCTTGACTGCATGTAGTATCTTCTGGAATTTGAGAGAGAGATAAGCTCCCAAGCCCGAATCAAAGTGCTCACTAGATATGATTGCCGCTTGGTTGTCTACAGATATTGATATCGGGAATTTGATATCCTGCTTGGTGGCAATGAGTTTAGCAGCTAGAGTAAGTCCTACCATTTCCGCTTCATATATGGTGTGTTCATCGCTTGAGCCTAGGTGATATTGAAGTGTGTGTGGTGTTCTTCCTGATCAGAATAGAATCGCGGCTGCTCCAATGTGTTCATTGTGACCTGAACTGTCAGTGTACACTTGGATGTGATCCTGTAGATCGTGGTGTTCCATGATGCCTTTGTTTCTCATGTTCGCGATATGGACCTTGTATGGGCATGTGGAGGTGGGAGCATGTCTGGTGGGGATGAGGGCGTCGATTTCATCTGGTTTGATGCTAAGGGAGTGGGTGAGTCAGTGTAGTGACAAATGGTGAGTTGATACGTAGCGCTTAGCTGCTCTTCGAACTGGGGCATACAGGGGATGGGAGTCTGGGTGAGCGGCGAGGTGCACTATGGCGCAGTGACAAGTGCCTTGGAGCAGATGGGCTATAGGAAGTAGATTAGCGTGTACTTCAAGGATATCGGTGGCGGTGCTTCTCATTGCCCCAGTCATGGCAATGGCGGCTATGCACTGGATGGAGGTGAGTTTCTTGATTGCTCCTAAAGATCCACGTTGGAGGGAGTCTGAGTTTCCGTTAAAGGCCAGTAAGAACCAGAGATCGGCAGCATACAACATTTTGGGAACTGCTGTGGCCTGGTAGAGTTGTCTCATTAGCCGGAGGGGGATACCTTTGGACATGGTGGATAAGCGACGGAGTTGCAGGACGTACACCAGTCCTTTGACGAGGGCGTGGTCCACGTGGGCTTCCCAACGAAGCTCCTGATCAATGATAACACCTAAAAAATGGTCAGTGAAAACTGGACGAATGATGGCCCCTTGGATGTTCATGTCCGGGTGTTCATGTTGTCTGTTCATTGAGAAGTCGATGAAAATAAATTTGTTAGTTTTGAAGCGGGAATTGTGAGCTCGTGACCATTCAAAGCCCCCACCGCTTTGTTCCAGCATATCTTTGAGGGTGTGGTGGGTGTCTGTGAAGTTCTTACCTATAGCTACTAGGGCGGTATCATCTACAAAAGCAAGAGTTAGATAGAGTTGATATCAGATAGGTAGTTCGGGGTGATTTGGTGCTTGAGGGATTTAAAAAATGCTAGACTGGAGTGGTCAGTTGCCCACCCTGCACTTGTTAAGAGCAGGGATCAACTCTGTGCGTGTCATCAGAACAGTGTACAACAGTTCATCAGCAAACCACCCGTTTTGAGTCCAGGTTCTGACAGTCACCACAGAATCACCAAAAATCACAGTATGTTACAGACGCATCACAGTACATCACAGTGCACACAGAGCATCACAGAGCACCACAGAGCACAAAGCACCACAGAGCACCACAGAGCACAGAGTTATACAGAGCTGTACAGTACTGTACAGGCTTGTTGTTTTTCTGATGCAATTTTTTAAAATCACTACTCAATTAATATGTGTGAATATCTATACATGCATATGGAAGCCAGTTGGTTAAGATCCTAGTAAGGTATAAGCAAAAATGAAGGGTTCAAAAGTAGCTTATTTATATAAGCAAAAATGCGAAAATTCACTAAGTCTTTCCTTATTGTCCTAATCTTAGTCTAATCCTAACCTTATACACCAAAAACTCGAAAATTCTACTAAGTCTTGTGTTGTGGCTTTGTTTGGCACTGCTTATATAAGCAAAAGTGCGGTCAAACCACAAGTCTTTTCTGATTTTTTCCTTCCTTTCTCTCACTGTCTTTCTGCAACAATTTTCGAGTTTTTGCTTATTTTCTCTTGTTCTTGTCTGGTGTTGGAGTTGGAGTTGTTAGTGCTGGTGCTGGTGATGATGGTACTGGTGCTTTGAACTCTGGTGAGTCTTCCTCTTTCTTTGTGTTCATTTCTCTAACATTGACTTCCTTCTCCTCCTCCTCTTTAATTTTCGCATTTTTACCTCTTTGGTAAATCTTTCTTTATCTTTTCTTCTCTTTCTAGCTCTCTTCTCTTCCCTCACCTCATTCACCTCCTTCTCCCCAACAATTTTCGCATTTTTGCCTCTTTGGTAAGTCTTTATCTCTTCTTTTTTCCTATCTGATACTCTCCTGCTAGCTCTCTTCCCTCATCCTCTTTCTCTCCAGCAATTTTTGCTTTTTTGCTTCTTTGGTAAGTCTTCCTGTCTATCTTCTCCTTCCCTCTCTGAATCTCAGTCTTCTAGCTCTCTTCCCTCCTCCTTCCCTCCAACAATTTTCACTTTTTTCACTACTTGGTGAGTCTCTCCTCTCCTTTCCTCCTTCTCTGACTCTTATTTTGACCTGTAGATATTTGCATTTTTGTCCAGTTTAGTAAGTTTAATCTTTTTCTTAGTCAGTATTGTACATGCCAGTGTAGTAGTTACTTTGAATTTGATTTTAATTTTCGCATTTTTGGTGTTTTGAATGTAAGACTCTAATAGAGTACTGATGATTCTGTGAGTCTCTGTTGAGTCTCTGTGGGCCTCTGTTGAGCCTCTGTGGACCTCTGTTGTAGCTCTATGGGCCTCTGTTGTAGCTCTGTGCAGCTCTGTGCATCTATGTACAGTGTCAATACTGCACTGTACAGAGCTGTACAGAGAGAACCCTCTCTGTGGGCTCTGTGGCTCTGTCCAGCACTGTCCAGGGTTGTATAGAGGACCCCTGGTTTTCTGATGTTAGCAAGGTATGCACCTTGGTCCACTTGGCCATGTCCTTGCGCTCTATCTTTTTACCATCTTTGTATCACCTTTCTCATCGCTACTGATGCCTGCCCAAGAATGAAGGATCTGACCTATAGCAAAGTAACACAGGTAAGGTCATGGGTTACAATCTTGAAGGATGAAACAACACTGCTAGAGGTGACACCTAACAGGACCTTTGTCAGCATGGACAACAAAGAAGTCAGTCAAATGATTGATGCCAAAGCTTCAGCTGGTGAAGCCTGTACAAGGTGCACTGCTGAAGTCACAAATTGGTGCCCATAGACAGACACATTCTTGAGTGTCGCTCAAAAATTGTCAACATCATGACAGATTCACTCCTGCCCCTTCATCATCAACATCAACCGACTGACAATGCTGCTGACCCAGTGAATGTCCAAGGTGAGGTCTTTGAGACATGTGCTGAAGCTTTCACTGCCAGGGCTTTTAAGATTGAGGCCTTCCAGTTTTGTGGCATTCATTGCAAGAGCGAGCTTGAGCGCTCAAAGCCAAGAGGGGTGCAAAAGGCAAATGCTGAACATATGCCTGTAAATTATATAAGCATAAAAACCTTAATACATAGCCACATGAAGTTTCAACAAGTGTGATCTGAGTTTTCAGCTAGCGGTCTTGCAAGGAAATGAAATTTTTTGTTAGCTACTGGGAGGGGGGGGGGGGTTTATTACTGTAGAATACAACTAGGTAGTTAGATAAATAAAAAATGCGCATGCAAGTGTTTTACATGCCAAAAGGCAAATTCTGAATGTAATTTTGTGAACATGTGATCAAAACGCGTGATATCAATATATGCGCATCATACGTGTCTGGATTCATTCCAATGGCATGTGCATACATTCGGTCCATCAAGCTATGATATTTCAGACAATGATAGCAGCTCTGAGTCAGACTTGGACAGCACGTGTTCCGACTCATATCACACTTCTATCGACTTGATTGATTCATCTGGGCCTTTGCACCCCTTGGACGCCTTCCTAGAATCGGCAGTGGCACTGGAAGATCTACCACATCCTTACGAATTAGCCAGAACCCCTGATGACTCTGCCTCCATTTGGTCGGACAACCCGAAATCACCCTGTTCGGACCCAGAATCAGAATATGACGAAGAAGACCTAATTTCATTAAATACCCCCGGTGCGCTCTATCGGCTATTTCTCAAGGACAAGCTTCAAGTCCGGATCAATTCCTCCAAGTGGTGGGAACTTTTATGTCCGGACTGCGCAGAGTGGTGCCAGACTGGCATACACTCTGGTATCGATCTGTGGATACCCAGGCAATTCGCATCCCTCAGTAATCATCGGGGGGGGGGGGGGGGGGGGGGGGGGGGTAAGAAATGCCAGCAGAGGGCGGCTCAAAAGAAGCCGAGTGCGCCTGAGAAGGACAACAACATGTTTGATGTTCCATCAACACGTTGTTCGTTTACTACATCAAATCCCACAAGGTATCTTTCATTTCGGTTCCATCTTATCACACATATGATCAATCAATCAAAATTTTAGCGCATTACCCTCTCCTCCTCCTCAGTGTACTTGCGCTGGACTTGTTGTAGTCTGGCCTCAAGACCTTCGCCCATTTGTCATGGTATTCCCTTGGGAACATTACCATGAGGGTGTAGACTCAGTCCCTTTCCTCGTTGACCTCACCAATCCCAGCAAACCCCGAGTTCGTTCCAAGTGCTGCAAGCTTACATCTCTTCTCGAGGATGTGCTGTGTGATGAGTGTGCTGACATCTCTCAGCACATCAATCACCTCGCAGACACTGCACAAAACCCCAAGTCCCACACTAATTACCGCTTTCTGGGCCTTGCGCACATGCAAGACCTCGCCAAATGCTATGCCAATCAAACGAGGCAGCTGAAGCTGCAGGTGAGTTTTTTTATGTACTTCTACATGTTCTAACTAGCTATATGTAGGGACTCAATGATTCACGGAAACATATGACCTCCCTCACCCAACTTGATGATTATCATCGTCTTCTCATGGCTATATTGGAGAAAGACATCCCCCGCCTTCACCAGGTTGTCAATGTCGTGTTACGCAATGGCGCCAGCATCCGGGAGATAGTTAACAAGCTTGAGGATGCGTGTGAGGGCGTATATCGTCCATGAGGCTACAGAGCCAATGACTTGGACATAGCAACATTGGTTTTGCATATTGGTGGTCGTCAGCTCCTCTTCGCACTTAACCAAGGCCTCGGTCTCCCCTCCATCCGCACTCTTCGCACCAGATCCACCTTCACAACACTCACCCCCACCATCGTGCCTATCCGTGATGATAAACTTGACGCGAATATCCATTCAGTGGTTCTAAGCTCTCGTACTGACATCACAACCCTGCGTGGTGTAAGTCTAATGGTTGATGAAATTGTGCTGGAAGAGATGGTGGTTCACCTCAGCAAATACAACAAGATTGCCGGCCTTTGCTGGAAACATTCACATGTTGTTGACCCCGTCCTCCACACTTATGACTCCGCCATCACCATCACACAGAAAATCCAAGACGGTGAAGTTCATCTTGGGAAGGAGCTTACCGTCATAGGTGTCGCATGCTTCAGAGAGGACGAACTCTACCCTATCTTAGCAGCACCTACCTGCAAGACCGAAGACGCTAGTGACATGGAGGGTTTGCTTGCTCGTGCAATTGGGCGGTGGAATGCTACAGGAGCAGCTTCAGCTGTTGGACCAGTGTGGTCCTTTGCGACCGACGGAGACGCTACCCGGCATGCAGCAGGGCACCGACTTTTCTTGAAGAACCCTCTGTCCCAATACTCAGAGCTATATGGTATCCTTGGGAACATGCCTGGCTTGAACACCATGACAGGTGATGCCGAGGTTACACTCGATTTTGACTTCAAGCATATCTTCAAACATGAGTGTTATTTATTTATTTGATCTGTTCTCATTTATCTATTGATCCGTGCTAATTCTACCGATAGGTTTCTGTACTCTGATCCGTCCCCCTGCAGGAATCATCCTCAATAACGGGCGCATCATTAATTCAATGATGTTGGCGTGTTACCTCGTTTGGTTGCCTGTGTACAATGAAACAAGTGTCATCAAACTCCTCCACCCTGACGACCCGCAAGATGTACCCCGCGAAATTGAGCGTATGCAGGCCATAGTTGACTTCTCAAAGTCACAACACGCCCTTCTTACTGATTCATTCTCATCCAATGTCGAAACACGTGCGGACCTGATGTCGATCACACTTCTCAGTCACGTCATCGAATCCATCCTGATGCCGTTTATTAACACCAAGCTCTTGCTATCCGAACAAGTCCATCATCTCAGTTGCTATTCCCACCTCACATTCACCATCTTCCGTGTTCATCACCGTTCATTTATGCCATTCCAGCTTTACTACAACACTCAGACAGCCATCAAGAACATCATTTTGAACATCGCGAAGCAGCAAGTTCTTGATCGGAACACATCATTCTTCCTCGGTGATTGCGGAGACGATCAACTTGAACTCATGTTTGGTCGGTCGCGCATGATTGGTGGACACAATTCCGGGTGTATGTATTCCCAGGCCATTGATCGTCTTGGTGCAGCAAAGGACATTGACAGTGTGTTCAAACGACACCCTGAACTTGATCCTGGCCACCAGCGTCTCAGTCTTGGCAAGCACATCAAAGACATTGACCACATTAATCGGCGAATGTGGAGGGGTGACATCATTTGTGGTCGCTGCGACCTTCCATCAGCATGGTGTCAAGGGTGTGAGATTGCGCTTTCTATTCTAGCTTCTTCCCAGATCGATCCCATCAATTATTCATTCGCTGAACTGTTCCGTGATCCCGGAACAGACATACTACGTCCTCTAGGTATGAATAAGTACTTCGGCATCACAGAAGATGATCCCGATGACTCTAGCCGTGTGCCTATTCCACTGCCAGTGCCTGTGTCTATACCCTCACAGGTCTTGGAGACTATGATGCCCGATTCTGAGGCTGGTGTGCATCGCAGCAAAACTTAATGTAGAGTAAAGATCATGGTTTCTCACAGTATATGCATATCATTATACATGGTGGGTCTTTTCTGGGTACATTTGTTCTCTGTTGACAGCATCTTGATGATTACCAATATTGGAACCAATGATGTTGATGCTCTGCGACGATTCTAGAGAGAACCAAAGTCAAATTCTTCTTCGTAGAACCCATGTGCACCTTAAATACAGTAAATGTTACAGTAACATGGCTAACTACGACTGTTGTCGTAACAGTGAAAATACAAGTTGAGGGAACAATGTTGCAGTATAGATTGTGCATTGCATGGATGTCGGCATCTTGAGCAGCGATCTGGTCAGTCAGTGCATTCATTCAGGTCGGCAGTGGCTGTGTGCCGAGCTTGCAGTTTGACAAGTTCAGCCCAGGCACCATCAGTGGCATCCTGGAAAGCAATGCCATGTTGTCATTCATCACCCGCAAGTTATTGACCATAACATCTCCCTCAGAATCAATCTACCTTCATCACATGCTGGAGGAGGATCAATCAAGTGTGGGGGATGAGGACGGCTTGGCAGGATCTGGAGAGTGACTATTGGGCGATAAAGTCACAATCAGTAGTACAGAATATGCGGGTGCTTGCTGTGCTGCAGCATCACCTTTTATAAGGATATCTGGAATAGTTTGGCAGCATGCATGCAAATGTAAGTGTAAACTCAAACATGGGCGAGGAGGGTGACCCTTCAGAATTGGGGTGGTGTCAATCTTGGAGTGGGAACATTTGAGCTTCACTGTGGTATCATTTCCTTGATGGCAAATGATGGATCTGGTCCATGGAAAATCAGTGGATGACATCAAGTAATCATGTAGGAAGAACATACAATGTGATGCATTGGTCAACCCCTAAAGGCTCAGGACCTTGTATTGAGCAAAGAAGTTACAGAGGAAAACAGGCATAGTCAGGGTTCCAATAGACTGACTTGGTTTTGGAGGATCAACAACGAAGAGAACAGTCAATGAACCAGTGGATGAATAAGTGTGAGTTTATTTGATGTTTGTTCAAGGTAATTAACTTATTTTCTTCATTTCAAGTTTATTGTGTGAATTGGTTGAAAGCTAAAGCACATCATGACCACTGGAATGAAGAATTGAAGTTGGTACAGCATGAAATGTTTTGGACAGTGTCCTGGTTTTGGACACAAGAAGCCACATGGAGATCCATGGTAGATAAAAGTATAGTCAGGAGGCCCTTGAACTTATACCACAACAATGGTCAGTTTTCCCGGCCTACTCACCCCTGCTCGCTACCAGATATTGAATGGAACAAAGGGAACAAGTTAAATGAACCGGAAATGAATAGACTAACGGAAGGATCAGAATGTAAACTGGATATTAACTGTCAGAAGGATCTGGGCATATAGGGGTAGAAAGAAGTGCATACAAATGGGGACTCAGGGGAAAGAAATTCTAGACCGGACCCGAGGGACTGGACCAGATGAGAAGGTTCAGGTACAGGATGTGACAATGATCAAATATTTTTGGATGCGTCTTGTGTCAGTATAACCGGATGTTTGGACCTCAACATGTGGTACAGGCAGATAGAATAATGCCAAACTCACCTGCAGCATCAATTGAAGGTTTTTGGCATGACTCCAGAAGCCATCTGTATACCATGTGTTCAAGACCGGAAGATGAAGCCACTGAAGCGGCACTTCTCCCCCTTCTTGTATGAAAATCCAATGTGATATGCCTGTTCCTCTGCGTTTCTGTTTCGACATTGTGGCAAACCACACTGAAAGCAGTAGGTAAAGTGTTCAAACAAAAACTTAGGTCTGAATGCCCTGAAGAGGTGGGTCAAAATTCCAGCCTCCACATTGCAGCCGTGGTATGTGTCCACGAGGATCTTGCCATATCTCCCAAAGTGTGCTGGGCATTTGCCTCTCAAGACATGCATGTACCTGTACAGGTGGGAGGTTCGTTCCAGACGACTGCAAAGGGCTTAGTTAGCATGACATGCTCTTCCCACAAACATAGTGGGAAGCGATACGGAGGGTAGTGTCACCCACAAGGAGCTGCCTGCCAATGGTTGTGATTGAGCCTGTCAAACTGTGTCAGTACATTCTCACAAATTTGAGATGCAGCCATACTGTGTATAAACTGCTGTCTGATACAGTGCCATATAGAAGGTCTGGTATTAGCATCAAAGACACTATCACATGTGTGACATGTGCACTGGTCTGTGGATTATCTTCATGGCATTCAATATTACTATATCAAATTCTGTGGGCCCTGGTCCGCACTAATCAAATGAAGTGTTGCTGGACTGAGTTCAGGGGCCTTTTGATTAAATAGGTCAACTGTTCAGGAGGATAATAAAGATTGACACTTATTGCTGCTGCAGAGAATGCAAGCAATGTCAGACTGCTGCTGGAATAACCTTGGGAGCCATCAGCGGGTACTTGAAGTGTGAAGGCACTGGTGAAGACTGCAACCACTCAGACCTGCCCCACCATGGCAGCCCTTCTTCACCAATTTAGCACTCACACTGCTGGTCCCGTAGTGACCTTGAGAGAATAGAATGATCTGCAACTTTAAAAACTAAAAGTATGGTTCTTTTCTGTGTCTATTTAGTCGACTGGAATTTTTACTTTTCCTCGGCTATGACCGTGGCATTACCCTCAACTGACTCCTCTAGTATATCCTATCACTAGTACACAGTTTATCAAGATATCATGGGCAGCTGACAACAGATAACAGAATGGGACACTGTGCAGCACCTGTGCCCCTCATATTTCCCTGAACACCATGATGTCACCAGAAGACTTAGAAAGTGCTATCTGCCAATCCGACACTACTACAGTTTTGAAGCGAGCTAACCCTCTTAAATTATCTGACTATTTGCAAGTAGAGATTGAAGTAATTGACCACATGAATACAAGGAGTCAGAAGAAGGAAACACACTGGTATGCTAGAGAAGTTGTCAATGCAGTCAAAGCATCACTCGACTGGCCTGGCTGTGTACCAGGTAGTACTACTTCCTGCCACACATACTGACCCCCAATCAGGGCCAGACCTGACATCTTCTGTTATGACCCTCGTAATGGCTAGTAGTCGCTCGAGACTCATTGAAAACATGGACAAGGAGTCCTTACCCTATACCTTAATAACCTAGAGGTGCAAGACAAGTCATTGTCTGCCGAGGATTGCCAAAAACAGTCTTCAAACACCAGGGGTGTCAACGACGGTACTATGTGTGGCAATACTCACATGTCTCATGATATGTCTTTACCATACAAGAGGAGTTTTGACAGACTAAAACCTGTGACAATGACTATCCAAGATGGTTGATGCCTTCGCCACAATTATGGTAACAGGGTGCATTTGATGTATAACTGCTACCTTACATGATTGAACAACGAACAGACAGAGGTATATCAATGCTACATTTGATTACTCTGGACTCTTGATATGTTACCAAGAAGATGTGGTTGAAATACAATGATTCCGATGGGGTTCCGGGCATGCTCATAGCTAACGAGGTCAGCATTGGAAAGACTGCCTTGGTGATGGGCACTGTCACCTTTATGATTGACATATGCCGGCTACATCAAATTACATTGAAAAAGGCTGATAATGTTCCACCAGGTCAAGATCCACCCTTGATTCACCTGAACAGTATGCCCAACAGTAGACCATCACCATAGGGGTCTGTCCTGATGGTGTGGCTCACCTATTCAGGTGCCTATGCCCCACTCATCTACAGGGTTGGTAAGGCCAAAAGTGGCATTGAGGTTTGTGCCTTTGAACTCCAGAGATGTGTTATTGGTATGTTGTGAGGAGATGAAGTGCTCCATCTTTAAAACATAGGTCTTACCTACTATGACAAAAATTGCTACTATCATGATGGCACAGAGTTCTTGGGACTGGACAATCACCATGGGATGGTCATACTGACTTGGACTTGGAGAGTCCATGAAAAAAATATGTTTATTTGTTTGTTGATGAGGTAATGTTACTTCCTATTGGGCCACCATGACTTAATGAAACACCTCATAGTGAATTTCCATATCTTTGAAGTAAAAGTGTTGTCCCACAAGCCTACGTTCAAAGCTTAAGATAAGCAAATTTCACATCTTGCCATATATGCCATCTATGCCATGGGCCACTAGTGGGCAGCTGCAATGACTCTGATAGATGCCACTGCCACTGGTAGTGAGCATTACAGCCTGCTAAATCTTCAATGATCACTGGCTACAGACTCCTTGGATCACTACTTTAATTTTACTGATGGTGCTGAACCTACTGCAGGTTTCATTTATGTTGCAATGGAAACTTGATGGGCCGCTTCTAGAGGCTACTAAGTGACCAATGAGGACTAGAACTAGAGTCAAGTTGCCAAAGAGGCAGGGAGCGCTGGACTCTCAGATATGGAGGATGTATGATAAACAAATGTAAACAGACAAGCCAGAACGCAAAGGTAAGGGATAACTCGACCTAGACAATTGAATTCCTAGTGAGGTCAGGAAAGTAAGTGATTGGACAGAAAAATAGAGGTAGTCGATCTATAGGTATAGAGACCATGAAAAGAATAATAGCAGGTAGTTCGTCTAATAATGCTCAATCCTCTGCAAACAAACAGCTACAACTGTAGTCTCTAGGTCTTAGTGATGTACACACTTGCAGGGAACTCATAGATCAGGCATGTGCGAGGAGGACATGATGGCTTTCTGGTGCTAAATACACACACTTGTAATGAGAGTACCTACTATGTAATATGGCAATTGTAATATGGCAATTTATACATATAAACAATTTGTACGAACTCACTTAACAACTCAATGAGGCATAAAGAGTTACAAGAGGTAAGGCATGTACATAAGATTTATATCTAATCTGACCTGGGCTGATAAAGGGCTTCACTTTTGGCCATCTATAGCCATATTCTATTATGCTGCAGAGATATGTTGTTTGTTTCAGCACCATTTGTAGTCATCAAAAGCTGACTGAGCCAGGCTATCTCTGGAATCAACTCACTGCCATCAGATTGACTTGTGGGTAGAATCTGTGGGAGAGATTCCTGACTTGCATCCTCCTACTGCCATGTAGCAATCAGCCTCCAGAAGGGTGGGGGGTCATCTCAATAAAGACATGGAGTTTCTGATGATGAAAAGAACCAAGAGATAGCTCATGTGATAATGACACAGGGAGTTGCCAATGACGAGAAAGCTGAGATATGGCTCATGGGATCTTGACAATTAAGGAACTGACGGTGTCCACAAGAATGGGATATTTCAGTGCTAGGAGCGGGTAATCAAGTTGTCTTTGAGAGTGTATGCAAGTACACTTAGCTCACAAAGAGTGAGATCATGGATACTTTTGCTTCATGTGAGCATGTTGTGTTTCTCATCAGGCATGAGGGTGTTGGAGGATGCAGCTGCAATTGCCTAGTAGGATAGGTGAAGTTTTCCAAGTGAAGTTTTCCTCTGCCTGTTGTATCTGCCTGTAACAATCTCAGTGATTCAACAGAAGCTCTAGAATGAATCTTACCACACATGGTGGTCAAACCAACTATAATGCAATGTAACTCATCCAGTTGTTTCCAACTATAAGGGTCAGTGGTTCCATGACTCTCCAGCCACTCTTGCAACACTTCCTCCACAGGCAATCCACATTGTGATGTGATGTAGTTGAGAACATGAACAAGCTTAGCAAAGTCCATAGATAACAAGGAGCAGAACAGCTAATTCAGAGCGGGAGGTAATCAATTGTGGAAGTGCACCCTGCAAGTAGCAAGAAGTCAAGGTAGATGCCATTGATGGCGGCCTAGTAAGTCAAGTGTAGAGGGTTCTGAGACAATTCTGAAACCTCCTAAAGTTCTAGTAGTAACTTTTATGTAATACCAACTTTCAAAATCAATTTCGCATTTACGCTGCATGATTTCAACAGTGATCTTCAAGCTTCAAAGCTTCAACTTCCAGTCATGCAGATATTACAATTAATATAAGACTTGATTGTGTGTTCATGTGGATGTTTCATATACTCCTGCCTCGTTGTCATTGAGTCACACAAGTGTAAGTAAATTGTACAAACCTGTTCTGCTAAAAACATCTACTGATACTACTGGAATGGACACCACAGTTAAACAAATCTTCTTATTGACCACACACTCAAGCAGTTCAATGAGAGGTGGCAATTGTGGGAGCAAATCCTGCTCGGTCTTGATGTCCAAAAGGATATGCCTATTACCATCTCGCAAGCCATGCGTGCTCTACCGGTACTGTCAACCATTGGAATACTGACAGTAGTTACCTCAAGGACTACCCAAAGAACAAGTTTGCGAGGCTTGGCAACAAGGCTCTTAAGATTCATGGCATACCAAGTAAGTTTTCAAAGCTCTGTTCCTAGACAAGTGGCAAAACATTCTTGAGCCTCATGAACAGTTAGTTGGCGATGCTCCTGGGTGTTCTTTGGATGGTTGCAATACCGTAGCTGAGGCTGCTCTGCCTACACCCACACCTCTCAATGTGCCTATTCCTGGATCATCATTCAAGTGTCCGGCCATATGTTTCTCATCAGGATACCCAGTATGTCACTAATTGATTGAGCAGTCTCCAGCACCTGTTGAAGTGAGGAAAACCAAGAAGGTCAAAATGCTAAAGGTGAGTCCATTGCTGTCATAGTCCCACCTTCTCATCAGTATGTTGGATGCAGCCTGTTCCTAAAGATACTGGCTCCAAGCAGCCCCCCACTTGAATTTCCAGCTGGGACAAGGGCAAAGGCAAGGCCACAGAGCCTGCCATGCCATCAGGATCTGGGTCGCAGGTGTGTAAGATTATTCAAATATTTTATCCTTGCTCAACACACACCTGGGGATGTTATGATTCAATCCATGACGCCTTGGGCCAGATGAGCATTTCGCCATCCACATCTAGTGAGGTGACTCCATTGTTGAAATTCAACTGGGCAGATGTGTTAACCACTGATTCTATGGGCAGTTGAACCTTAGCCAAACAGGGTGCTGAGATTGATGAGGTTACTCTAGGGCATAACCTTAGAACTTAGTGAAAATTTTACTGGCAACAATTGTTGGCTTATATTTGTAAATCCAAGGTGTGTCAACTTTTGATTTCTTCAACCTTTGGAGACAGATCTTGCACAGATTTCTGCTAGTTATAGCTAGAATTTCTACCCTGTTTACAATTACTCTAGATCTGCTACATGGACTACCACTGGATTTGTAAACCATATAATTCTCAGCTTGTTTTATTGCAAACCTACAAGATATCTATTGCTCAAGAGGATTTATCCACATCCCCTTCTTTAATTTCAATTCTCCTATCAAGAAATGGACGTACCATGGACAATTTTTGACGGTCATGAAACCTTTCATAAGACACTCTGAATGTCTGAGTGATTTCTCACGGTATCACTGACAATGAATCTTTAAATATGGTAAAATATATACAGCGGCCAGGATGTCAAACAGATATTTTTCAACTGCGAATGAGTGAACAAGAAATAAATCATAGGCAGCTAAAGTCTTGTTATTGATCACATCAAAATCATATAATGGTGTTGTTTCAATTGACATGAGCAACATTTACCTGGGTGTTCTACATGGTCTCATTGGTGACCTTGCAGGAATTAAGAACATGATATAAACCTCTGGTCAAGTGGTGTAGTATGGAATCCATTGGTACTAGCATAGTTCTACTGAACATTTGCCTATAGCTGATTGAATGTGTTCAAGTCCTCTATGGTCCTACAAGTACAAAATGAATTGGGCATCAAATCATCATGGAAGAACACCCAAGGCTCTCTAGAGACTTCCTGGATACGCTCTCCCCAGGACTTGCCCCACCAGTCCTATAAAGATGCGATGAACTGAACCTCAGATAACAGAACACAAACAAGTCCCCCAATGAAAAACCAAGGAAAGACCTCATGGAGGCGGTCTCCCCAGGAATGGCCCCACCGGTCCTATAAGGACGTAGTGACATGGACCTCAGATCACAGGAAATATTCAAAACACCCGAGGAAAGACCTCATGGAGGCGCTCTCCCCAGGAATAGCCCCACCAGTCCTATAATGATGTAGTGATCCATATAGTATTGTAGAGTAAATGATGCTAACAGTTTAATAAATGATTCAAACCCAGATTTGGTTGTTCTAAGTTTCAAGCTCCACCATAAATATTAATATCAGTCCACTGCCACCTTCCATAATGTTGCTATGAAATCGACTAAACTGAACCAAGTGTGAATTTGGTCCCACTTCATTTATTGAATACTTATACCAGTTGCATAGTGTCCTCTCTTTGTTTGTTCTGAGCTGGATACACCCACAATGGAATTAACATAACTTCCCACAATACAATTGTAATTCTAGCTCCCTGTCTAGGGACTCAAGGCCACTAGCTCAAATACTCGCCCAATCCACCACCCTGATCCTTTCTGTGGTTCCAATGAATTTGCGCCTCAGAGCTTTATTGCTGTCTGGTGCACTGCCACAACTGCAGCAGTGCAGCAGTATTATATGCCTTATAAAATTATTATGCTAGCCCTTCCCTATAAGAAGTGACAAGAATGTTTTATTATGCAGAGCCAGTATTATAGGGGATCTGATGTGTTGCAAGTGCAACACCAAGGACTGCACTGTTGCCTTGAATTTTTTTCCTTACTCAGAAAACACTGTAACTGTGGGCTTTGACGATGTCTGCCTTGTGGAACTGTTGCACACCAGATAGACTACATACCACACTTACAAAATATTGAATATACTATATAGATTAATAGGAAAAACATTAATGAGATCTTTATATCTATTATATCTATGGACAAATTACCAATACCCATATTAGAATTTACTAAACATTGTCTAGTTTAAATCTGAAGGATGACACCCAATGAGTGAGTATAGTCCAAGCTGTGACATTTCAATCTGTGGTAACATAGCTGAACAAGTCGCTAAGCTTACATTATATTTTTCTCTTGTCCCTCTACACCATGCTCAACTCCAAATTCACAATCTGCAATGTGAGCTCCCATTTCTGTGTCTGTCCAGTAACCAACCACCTCTATATCTCCAGTTTGCGCTCCTTATGAGCACCTCATGCATCAGTACATAACCTTTTGCATGGACCATGCAAGATCTCTGCTCTATGAAACAAGTTTATTTCCAAGAAGTAATACATGACCTCAGTGATTGATGCCTATACCTCCAATATGAGTATAACTGTTCAGACTTGCATTTTGTCTACCCAGGAAATGTAATCAGTGCTTCTAATGCCAACATCGAGTCTTTGCCCCTCACTATTTAAAAGTGCCCGAGTAGCATCTCACCATAGCCACAAGATATTTACAAGTGGATATCGACAGACAAGGCAACAGCTCACTGATCTATCAGGGACATTCTTTTAATAGGAGTCACAAGTATAGATATCTTGAGAGGTGAGCTAGTAGAATTGTCCCTTAGGGGATGCTATCGAGGCAAATCTCTCTAAATATGAGAGGAATCAAGGATTGGCGAAGAGCCGAAGGTATGCGAAGGCGCGCAAAGATGCACCATGTATATGCGACGGGTGTACAAGATAAGGAATTGGTGATGGCTAACAATATGGGTCCTTCAGGAGATGATAGACAAGTCTTAGTGAGACTAGAAAGATGATAGACAAATGTGCTGATGATATTAGTGCTATGCACACAAAATCAGCAGAAAACAGATACAGAGTCCAAGTAAGTAAAAAGTAAGTAAGTCCAAATTGTGCTTAGTCCTCTAGATATGTATGTAGCTACGTGCACTCTCAGGATGCAGAAGCGTAAAGGAAGCAGATAGGCTGCACAAATGTGGATATGTATGCAAGACTATATGTAAGAGACCCTAGATGTGGTCAGTGATGGTAATAACAGTGAGAATACGCACCAATGGAGCCAGACAGACAGGACAGGACATAGGAGGATATGCCAAGTAGAGTGCTGGTATGCGGACAAGATGCACATGGGAGAAGCTTCTTAGTCAGATACTAAGTGGCACCCTGAGATAGGACCACAAACACCCCTCAAGCTCAACACGCTTAACAGTGCTAATGCCGCTCAGTGGTGTTGACACCCAACTCAAGACCTATCAGAAACACACTGAATCGACCAGAAAACATACCCTATATAAGTGCTTCCTAATATTCAATACTGAAAATGCCTCCCAGGAGATTCAGCACTGGAGCTGGAGCAGGCCCCACCAAAGCCCCATCTCTAATACCGCCTAATGGCCCCAACACACGTAGAACTATCAGAAACACAACCACAGTGAAAGAAATAGAGGGAATGCAGAGTAGTGTCATGGACGCAGAGTAGGCAGCAAAATTTTCATCAACCAAATTACTCTGCCAGGAAGGACAACCCTATTCGTCGGCCCACCTCTCCACCATTCTATTTCACATCACCCTAATGTCAACAACCATTCCACTCCCAGTCAACACAGCCATCTGGGCTGTAGCCTTCCTATTGAAACAAAATGTGCCATATGAAATCACAGAAACCACTGCCAAACATCTCACAGAGAACCTATCCAACAGAATCATCGACCATGTAATCGCCGCTATCGCCCCTCAAGTTGCCAATATACACACCATCTCAGAAACTCTTCTATCCTCCACACTCACACAGTCAGAAAAGTTCCACTAATCCCTCAAATAAGAGCATGAAGAGAAGGAAGAAAGTGCCTTAATAGCAGCCAAACAGATAGAGGAAGCTGCAGATGTCCTATTCTCATCAGTAGAAGACTGCCAAAACACTATGAAAATCTTATCACCATCATTAGATGCAACTCAAGATCACATCAACCACTTGTCCACGCAGATGTTGACAATGCCAAACCCTCCCACACAGATTCCATCTCAATCATTCTATAGCTCGATCATAGCCTCGAACCTTCCAACCAAGGCAGACCAAGTGTTAGGCAGAGCGGCTATTCATGCATATCAGATATTATTAGACCCGAAACCCGGAGACAGCCTATTCCCACCTGGCACCACCACCACAGAAAACTGAAAGATGTCCTATTCAACATCCATGACAAATCAACGCCTCCAGGCGGGATCAAATCCATCACTACACTTCGCGGTGGAGGGATCATAGTGGAACTAGAGATGGAAAGCCTAGCTGCATGGTTAAGGGGACCAGAAGTAAGATCCTTGCTGGAAGGCCAATTCAACGAAGTGATATCATTCAGAACATTTATGTACTCTCTAGTGCTTGAATACTTACCTATCCAGACACAGATCAAAGGAGAAGAGTTCATCCACCAGATAGAGAAGGACAATGAATTACCAATGAACTCCCTATTCACCATCAGATGGATAAAGCCCACCACTCATCGGTCACCAGGTCAAAGCAAAGCATTCGCTCTCCTTCAAGTAGTGGAAATAAACACAGCAAACAATATTCTAAGGGACAGCTTCTGCATCGCTAACGAGTGTAAAGCAATCTGAAAGGACAAGAAGGAGCCCATTCAATGCACCAAATGCCAAGGATATGGCCACATCTCCTGCAGCTGTACAGCCTCAATGGACACATGCAGTACATGCGCAGAACAGCACTGTACCCACTGCAATGCATACTGCACTACCAGATGTGTCAACTGCAGAAGTATCAACCACACACAAGCTGGAGTCAGAAATGTCCCGAATTCATACACAGATGTGAAATGTTGGATCCAGAAAATTGGATGCCATATTTCCTGATGGAATCTGCATGGATCCACACCATTCATCCACCTAGGCCACCTAGAACTCCCCATCCCATTGAATTCTTGCTTCCTCATGCACGCTCACAACGCACAAACAACACAGCAACTTGGTGTAGAGAGTGATATCTCTATCTCTACAGGCTTGTATCCCCTGATTTCTACATCGACCTCATCCCTATCCACAGGTAGGTGCAACCTTCCCATGCCTTCCGCACCTTCCGCGCACTTCCCACGCTCGCGCTCAGCGCGCGCTTTCCTGCGCTTCCATCAGCTTTCATTAGGTCCATCCATCCACTGTCTATTCGGTCCATAGGTGTGTATTACATACATATATTGGTTTTCTGACAGCCACTGTCTCCTTACATACATCTGTGACATTCCTCAGCCGTGTTCCCATGTTCCCGCACTTCCGCGCTCCTTGGCCGCTTTAGGACACTTTTCGCTCGCTCTTCGCTAGCTACCCTCTATATCTACTGGGCTTTCTGAGAGAAGGTTCCTGACTTATGCAATCACCTTAGTAGAGTTCCGCAGTTTGTGCTATGTCTTAGGGAGCACCTACCTTTAGCCAGGAGTCATACTCTCTTTCCCTTATCAGTCTATACCCATAATACATTCACTTGATATCCATTCCTCGCGTCATATACGATCTTAGACACCATTCCGCATTTGTGCTCTGCAAGTGTGACCTTCCCGCGCCTCTGCACCCTCCGCTTACCTAGCACGTTCCCATGCCTCAAGCGCACTTAGTCGCCCGACTTCTGCCTGACTCAGCTTCCCCTAGAGGTCGAACATATCGCCCTCACATCAGAGCAGATTCCTCCAAGTCTGTTTGTTGTACCCACATCGGCAAACCACTCTAACATTCCCATTTTCATCCCAGAGCCAGAACCCATCAAGACCCAAGTCTGGACAGCCACAGCAACCTCATATTCCCTCCTCTACCTCCTCTACCACCTCCACCCCCATCAACCCATGTACCTCGCAATACACGCCAACATCAACACCAACATCGCTCCCAACCACCCCCTGCCCCTCGAACCCATACACACTCATCTCTACCCCTGCTGGACCTACCCCTAACCATGCCAATGTCTGACAATGCATCCGATCACACTGTCAGCCTTCGTATATGGCAACAAAATCTCAACACCTCTCCGACTGCCCAAGCCTCACTCCTTAAGTCACCTAATGCTGCAGATTGGGACCTTATCACAATCCAAGAGCCCCACATTAATTTTCTTCACAACACCAGCGCCAACCACCACTGGCATGTACTGTACCCGACCCAGCACTATACCCATCCGCAACAATGTACTTGAGCAGTAATGCTAGTCAGTGCCTCACTGGATACTAACACATGGAAACAAATTGCATTCCCATCTTCAGATGTAGTAATACTTCAACTTTCAGGTCCCTATGGGTGATGTACCATTGTCAACATTCATAATGACTGTAACTCACAAGACACACTAACTGCCCTTAGCACCTTTCTAGAGAATCACACCACCATCATCATGAACACTGACAACGACCATATGATATGGTCAGGAGACTTTAACCGCCATCACCCAGCCTGGGAGGACATCCGCAACTGCTATCTATACAACTATACTGCCACACAGCCTCTAATAGACCTCATTGCTGATCACAGCCTCCTACAACTCCTACCCTGCGGCATCCCAACACTCCAATCGACCAGCACCGGTAATTGGACCCACCCCAACAATATTTTTGGGACTGAAAGGATCCTCAATGCCGTCATATCCTGTGAGACCACCCCAGAGTTATGAGGGCCCAAAACAGACCATGTCCCTGTGCTACTGACACTCGAACTAGAAGTACTATAGATTGATGCAGAACCAAGAAGTAACTGGTGGGAAGTTGATTGGGAGGTGTTCAGAGAGCGAACACATCTCTACTTCCCCTGCTATTCCTCTTGCATCTGCTGACAAGTTTCAAGCAGTGGCCCGCCATCTCACCCAAGCCATAACAGAAACCATGGACGCCTATGTACCCATATCACAACAATGTCCACACTCTAAGAGGTAGTGGACACACTGGCTAACCAACCTTCGCAACCAGGTCAAAGAACTTAGCAAGCAAGCATATTGAATGTGCGGCCTACCCCAACACCCTTGTCACAGTGATCTGAAGATAGTGCGGACTCAGTACGCGGAGGACATCACATTGACAAAGAAGCAACATTGTGAAGATTAGCTCAGGGATATTGAGGGCAATGGCTTATGGACAGTACATTGATATATATCATTGGAACCGCGAGATGGCAGCAAAACGCACATTCCCACTCTCACCTCACTGGGACCAGATGGCGCACCAACTGAGGCTACTACCAACCAGGAGAAGAGTCTAATCATAGCTAAGTTGTTCTTCCGCCACCGCCCGTTACTGATTCAGTGGCGCCAGACATACTCTATCCAGATGAGGTCAAACAACAACAACCCATTACCTCGTCTCCAATTTGCAGAGTGATCGCCAACTTAAGCGGTTATAAAGTGCTGGGACCCGATGGGATATGTAATATAGTGTTTAAAGAATGTGCAAGTATCCTGGTACCTTACTTACTTCATCTCTTTCATGCAGTGGTTTCGCACCAGACGTATCATCAATCATAGAGGTGCTTTACCATGGTAGTTTTGCACAAACCAGGCGAACCAAACTACTCAGTACCGAAGGTCTACCATCCTATAGCATCGTTGAACACCACCGGCAAATTGTTGACCACTGTAATCGCGGAACAGTTAATGTTTCTTTTGGAGTGCCATCAACTACTACCCAATACACATTTGGGGGAACACCCCAGAAGATCCACGACAGACTCACTACACCTTCTAGAAGAGACCATCAAAGATGCCTGGAGATCCCATTATGTTGCCTCCGTATTATTCCTTGACATAGAAGGTGTGTTCCCTAATGCGGTAACAAAGTGGCTGCTCCACAACATGAGAATGCAACACATTTCAGGTAACATTGTCCAATTCACCGAACAAGTACTAACGAACCGCCAAACACAACTTCACTTTAATGGGTACACACATCGGAATGGTTTCCAGTTACTAACAGCATAAGACAGGGGGATCCATTATTGATGATCCTATATGTGATCTACAGTTCTGATCTTGTCAATGTCACGAAGCCCAGACAAGGTCACAAGACCATCAAGGAAATGATGTGTGGTGTTTCAGAGAACGTTCACACGAGATGGAGTTGACTTCGGGGAGACTTAGGGAATCGGTCAAAGAGAACTGGCCGAACTAAGACTTTTATTCGGGGATGGGAAGGAAGGATCACCTGCCCTACAGTAACTAGAAGAGCTCATTTATATACTGTAGGGACTATATGAGTAGAACAAGGAGGAAGGATAAAGAATGAAATGGCTAGATGATGCCTTGTCACGCTAGTGGTAACAAAGGCTTTTGGTGAACGCTACATACGCCCTCCAGGTCCCTGTAAGGGGCCTGCTCTGATTTTAGGTAGGGAGAACTTAGCCTTGAGATGCGTGCTGGATGTTCATAGTGTTCATCGCTGCTGAAAGGATGAGAAGGGTAAGAACATTAATCACTAGGAGACTAACTGCGACCACTTTACCAAACAGCTCCTCCGTAGTGATGCCGTGACGACATGCTTCAGCCTCAAGATCCATACGTTCGGATTCGGCGATGATGTCACTAACATCGCGTCCCATGTCAAGTACAGGAGGGGGAGTAACGGTCTGGGCAGTGGGAGTGAGAGTAGCGGCTTGTACCTCGGGGGATGGTTGAGCTCCCATTTGTGTTGAACGGGGTAAAGGAGGTGCTGAGAGGGAGACGCGTGGAGCTGAAGCATTCCGGGTCATTGAGGGAGGCTGAAAGTGGGTGTGCTGAGGGAGACGATTGGGACCTCTGTTATTGAGGGTCATGTGTCGTCTGCGTAGGCAAATACTGGCGAGTTCTGTCTTGCAATCAGCCTTGACAAGAGCGTCAAACGCATATGCGTCCTTTCTAATTGCCAGCTCTTCTGCATGACGTAGAAGGGATGGGTTAGAGAGACGCGAGGGGAGGTAAAGTCTGCAAGGAGGCTTACTCGCTAGGGCTTCAGCACGAAAGAAGCACGAAAATGCGTGCATAGCATCAGTGTTGGACTCGCGACGAGGGGTGTGGTTGTCATGACCACCACGACCTCCTCGACAATGTCTGCTACGACCACCCCGGGTGCGTGCAGAGTTTTGGTTATGGGTGGGCTGGTTAGGAACCTCACCAGCCTCCACACCATAGTCAGGGCCATCGACGCTCATCACGTCAAGTGGACTTGTGGGGTCGGCGGGAGAGGGAGAGGAGACGGGAGGCATGGGAGGAGTTGGACGACGTATACCGTAGGACTTCATCGTATTTAAATGAATCGGGTTGCTGTCAATATAGGAGTGATCACTAGTTAAATTTTCTAGCATTCGATCGACAACATCACGAACCACGGATCGAGCCCTGTCAAATGAGTCGACCGTGGCAATGGCAATACTAGGGCGGGTAGAGGGAATCTTCTTAGGAAGATGCTTGATACCGGGGACGCCCAATGCCTCCAGGTACTGTACTAAGGCCTTGAGTCTCGACACTTCGTGGTAAGGAAGCCAGACTCGATCCCCGGTTGAATATTCAACCTCAAAGAGAGAGTCAGTACCTTGTCCGTTGTGATCAGTTAAATGAGAGACAGACCATTCCTCAAGACAACCAATATCAGATATTTGGCTGAGCTGTCTCCCAGGGAATCGTCGGTTGTCATTGGGCACGTGGAATCGAAGTAAGTGTGCGTGAAACGCGGGGTGTAGACCTCGCTGTTTGAGTTCGGATGGTGGGTCGAGGAGGTACGAGTTATTATGATAATCCTCGAGGATCCGGAATGGACCAATCAACTTGGGTGAGAGTTTGTGAGCCCTCCCCTTAGGGAGAGAGAGGTTTTCCGTGGAAAGGTACACGAGGTCACCTTTGACGAAAGGTGCCTCTTTCCGGTTGAGGTTAGAGAGGGTCATGCTCTTCACGCGTGAGGCTATGATAGCATTGTGAGCTGACATGGCTGCGTCCTTCATGAGTTGCATGAAGACTTTTACCCCCGGGTACTCGGTCTTCGTATTCCATATCATGGAAGGGGGCATTAGGCCATAGATAGACTTGAAGGGGGGGATTCACCTAGTGGTGGAGCTGGCTGAATTAATCGTGAATTCAATTGCAGGGAGTTTAATGGCCCAATTGTGTTGGTTAGGCGACATGCACTGGCAGAGCATTTGCGTTAGTGTGCGATTGGCTCGTTCCGTTAATCTGTCGGTTTGGGGATGGAACGAGGTAGACATTCGAAGTTCCGTTCCCGTCAGCTCGTTGAATTTCTGCCAGAACGTACTCGTGAATAGTGAGTCACGATCACTAACAATACGGGAAGGCATACCGTGCAGATTGTATATGAGGTTGAACATTACCTCCGCGATGTCTTTTGCACGGTAGGTCTGCTTGATCGGGGCCAGGTGGACCATAGCCGTCAGGTGGTCTATGGCGACAAGTATCATGTCGAATACACCATTGAGAGTTTTAGACTCGGGGAGAGGTCCGACGAAATCGATTCCTACCATCTCCCAGGGTTGCATAGGGACTTCTAATGGTTCTAGTAAGCCATAAGGCTGGTGGTTGGTGGGTTTGGAGGTTTGGCAGGTGTGGCATGACTCACAGAATGCCTTGACGTCCGCAGCCATTTCCTTCCACCAAACGTTCTCACGTAGATAAATGAGAGTCTTTAGTGGCCCCAGATGGGCTAAGATCGAGTGAGCATGGGATATAATTACTTCGTGTAGTCGTCGCTGCTCGATACGAATGTCTGGGATGCAGAGTATTTGTTGCTCGTTCTGCTTAAGGAATAGACGGTCGTTACTTAGCTCAAAGTTTTTGAACACTTGAGGCTGGTCTAGAATTCGCTTGAAGAATCTATCCTCATGGTACCTGCCGACTATTCTTTCATGGATGTCGACAGAGGGGTCACCCATAGCGATTACGTCTGTTAGTGTATTGGACGACTCAGTGAGAATATCATTAGCAATGGATTCATTGAAGTCAACGCGTGTGGGATGTTCAATGGTGATGTCAAACGTCACATGACTTTGTAGGTCCTTGTTTGTGTTTGCATCTGCTATTGTTCGCTCATCGTTGATCAGTAAGTCGTCTGCAACCTTGATGCTGTTCTTATCAATGCTCGCAGATGAGTACGTCATAGAGCGATTGCTTTTGTCATTGATATTTTCTCTAGGTTGTCTTGTGTCGCTGGTGTCATCCAGTTTGGTGATACTTGATCCGCCCTCTGGTCCGCCCTCTGGATTACTATCTGAAGTGGCGCCATTACCAGTGCTTGGGGGATAGGACTTTGTGGGTGAGTGATTCTGAGGTTTCTCTGTCACCTCCTGACTCCCGCCCTCCAGAGATCTTGATGGGTCCCTACCCAATTTCAAGATCACTTTCTTTGGTCTGGGAGGTGTCGGTGGTGGGTGAGATGAGCCCATCTCTCCCACCAGCGCTCTGGATTCTGGTGATGCGACACCATCCACCTTTCGTTCTGCCGCAGTAGTTGCGACTGGGGTCGGGCGAGGAGCTTTTGCCGCATACTTGGTCTGTGGTTTCTCTCTTCTACTACCTGACGCTCTCTCATTGGAGTTATCCGAACCCAGGGTAGTTGATGCACTACTCTTACTAGTGAGTTTTCTGTCACCAGTCTGTGCATCCTGTGAGGTAAGTGATCGTTTCACTGGTGTCGTGTATGATCGCCCTGGCTGACGCGTGGATTCTAGAGTTGTAGGCGGCTCGTCTCCTTCACGCTGCATGGCTATTCTTGCCGACATGCGGGCCTCTGTCGCCCCAAGGAACAGCGGGGTCCCCGTGTATACGGGGGCCAACATGAAGTTCAGCAGTAAGGTCCGTGGCACGTCTTCCTTACCAATGCTAACATATTCACTCACAGCGCGAACGGTGCCAGCCGGCTCATTTGCGTAGATCCTGGATAACGCGTCAGCCAAGGTGTTCTCCTCGCCTGGTACGTAGGTAATATCGAAGTTGAATTTGCTGATAGCCTCTAGCCAGCGCGCCTGCATGGGCGATAGTTTGGACTGGGTTGTCAACCATTCTAGACCCTTATGGTCTGTGAACACACGGAATTTGAAACCAATCAGTAAGTGCCGGAACTGCTTAAGGGACTCGACTATGGCTAACAGTTCTTGCTCGTGTACAGGATAGTTCTGTTGTGCTGAGTCAAACTTCCCTGACCAGAAGGCAATCACGGTGGCCTTATGGATGTCCTGGCCTTGGGACAGGACCCCACTAGCACCAGTAAGTGAAGTGTCGGTAGTTAAGTTCACTGGGTTCACCCCGCTTATAGCAGACGCCATGTCGATGGCCTTGTGTCTTACGTTACAGTGAGTCTCTACACACACTTTAACTAAGTCAAAGGCCCACTGATCAGTAGGATCCCAGGTCCACCTTGTCGTTCGTGCAGCAACCTTTGATAAGTGCTGCATGTTGACTCGGACACCATCACATCCTGCTGCTAGATACCCCACCGATCCGATGAACTGCATCAGCAGTTCTTTCGAGGTGGCAATTTACGATTTTGTCGATTTTGTGAGGGTCAAGTCGTATCCCGCCATCGTCAATCACATGTCCAAGGATGGTGAGTTCTGGCATAAAAAACTGGAGTTTGTGTTCACTCAAGTAGAATTGATTCGTTCGCAGGATGTCTATCATGGTTTTAACATGCTGGACATGGCTCTGGGCAGTGTCCGAGTAGATGACTATGTCATCTAAGTAGACATCCATGAACACTCCCAGGTGTGGTCCGAATATATGATTCATTAACAACTGGTAAGTAGCGCCTGCATTACAATCCCCGATCTGCATGACGTGGCTAATCATCTTCCCGTCAGGTGTAGCAAATAATGTTTTAGGTACGTCCTCGGGCACTACTCTAATCTGCTTGTACGCATCCTTACCGTCGAGTAGTGACCTAAAGGGGTGAGAAGCGACATTGTGCAAGATTGTGTCAATATCTGGGAGTGGTGAGGCTAGCTTGCATGTGTTTTTGTTACACTGACGGGTATCTAGTACAGTGCGAAGGCGAAGGGTACCGTCCTTGGTAGCCTTCTTCATCATGATCATTGGGACTGTGTTCGAACCGCTGTAAAATTCCCAGCGGTTGGTTCGTATGTAGTCCTCCCGTTTCACTCGCCACAATGGACGAAGCGCTTCTGGGCACTTGGACTGTCGCCAAGAGTATACCTGCGAGTCCTCCAGTAATGGGATAATGTGGTTGATGGCACGCAAGGGAGGTAAGGGAGTTTCTACTGCCTCTTTACATATGTCTTGAGCATAGCGCTTGAGTTCTGCCCTATAGGCCTCAATCTGATCAGACCCAAGGCTCGAGCCTTTGAGCTCTAGAACCTGGGTCTGAGATCCTCTGATCGGTAAGGGTTCTATGCTTCTTATTTTGATTTCTGATGGATTAAAGCCCAGAAGAACTTGATGCTGGTAGAGAAACGGCATATCGAGGATTACATTGTAAGCTTTGAGGTTCACGATATCAAAGGTACGGGTGCCTTTGATGTCTTGGTACACAAGCTCAACATCAGTTGTAGCTTTGACCACGCTACGAGATCCGGAGACGGCTAATTGCAGAGGTATCGGTTTTTCCAATAGTTCGTACTTTAATTTCAGCTGATCAACTACTGTCATAGAGATGAAGTCCGTTAGCGAGCCTGAGTCCAATAACGCGCGACAGGGTCTGTTATTGATCATGACGACTACCACAATGGATCGCGGGAGGATTCGTGATGTCGATTTGGGCCTCGCGGACTGATGATGAATCGACCTTAGGTCTGGAAGCTCGTGTTGTTTACGCGAGGAGCTCGCGCAATAGAGGGAATCGAGGACGCCAGCGTCTTCGACGTGGGGGGTGGTGATTGTGGTCACGACACCTTCGTCGGCGAAGTTCGCGTCTTCTTCTACTTTGTTTTCACGCTCTTGCAGCATGGTCTTGTCATGAGTTTGTATCCGAGGTACTGTTTCCCAATCACTCTCATCATATAAGTTACTGATCGAAGTCCAGGACATATCATCACCTGGATCGTCTATTGCAGAGCTACTCGAGTGATTGATGGACGGGCCATGCCAGGATGGTCTAAACGAGGACTTGGTACGTATTAGGTCCTTATAGTTCCACAACTTGAGTTCTATCAACCAGGAGACTACATCGAACTCGGGGTTCACCATCTGCTCAAAGTATATGATGTAATCATCATAGTTATGTTTGTCTGACAGGAGGTAAGTGCACGGTCCTCCATGGTTTGATAAGCTGAATCGATCAAACCCAAAAGGATCGTACAATGGGTCAACAAGTTCATCAGTTGGTAGAGGTACTGCTTGGCGTAGAGTTCGTAGTGTCTGGTCAGTGATGACAAGGTGCGTAGCTGCCTCATACTCAGGGCACTGGCTTACTGTTACCGCCATCCCATACAGGCCGTGGGTGACGCCTTCCTCTATAGCGGCATGACATATATCATTGCTGGTAACTCCTACTGAGTGCACACTCAGGGAGGACACCTTAGTGCCTGGCTTAAAGGGAAGTCTTGTCCTCTTGGGGCAGTCTTTAACAAGGTGACCAGTTTGCTCACATTCGAAACACTGATTGTTTTCTCATAGTCGTCTCAGGTGCTCAGCACTCTTCTTTGGGCCATCTCTTGCCTTATGATCATTGGCGCGGGCTTCCATTCGGTGAGTTCTAGTTCTATCTTCTCCTCGCCTGTTTGATTGAGGGTGAGATACTGAATTCGCCACGATAGAGTCAGTGTGTGGACGACCCTCTCATTTTCTAAATGGGTGATCATTCTGTCTACGAGTCTCAGATCGCATACGATTGCTGGAATACCCGGCTGCCAAGGAGGGATTGATGGCAAGTAGTATGTTTGGGTCCTTGGAGTTTTCGAGGAAGGCTCGTTCAGTGCGTAAGGCTTTTCTTTCGACAGTTTGGATACTGACTGTATTTGGCTCATATCCTTTATCAACTAGGGAGGCCTTGATGTAGGGCTGGCAATTCATCCAGAATTGTCAGACCATCTCACGATCGTCAACATCACCTGCCGTATCAGCGAGGTTCCGTAGACGACGAAGATAATCGTGTACGGATTGCCTGGCCTCCTGCCGGCACTCTAAGAATTTCTGCCTTTGCATCATATGAAATCAGGGGGGAAGATGTAGTCAAATTGTTGCTCACAGAACTCGGTAAGAGCGTAGTTCTTTTTCAGATCTAGGATGTCTCGCTCATAGAATCTATATGCTTGCCCACTCAGATACTTCCCTAACATTCGTAGGCTTTGGGCAGTGGTGAGTCGTGCTCGGTCTTCCAGTCTCTGACCTCTCTGACCCACTTTTTAAAAGTGGATGCATTAGCTTCACCAGAGTAAGTGAAGGGTGGTTCATTTTTAATGAAACTTTGCTGATATTTTAACAGGTTCAATTTGGCCCTATACTCGTGACGGGCAGCACACTTAATCCGCTTCGTTTCAGCTGAATCACTATCGTGATCTGACTCTGGCTCAAGGGCCATGAAATCCACCCCAAAGTCATTGGATGGTCGAGCACTCCCAACGCTGTTGATGGGGTGACTAATTTTGGTGCGGGAGTAAAGTCCCCGCTTTCCGGTAGGCTCAGTGTTTTCGTCAGTTTCATTTTCTGTTGATGAACTCTCGCTTTCATCAGATGATTTTGATGACGGTTCACTTGGGTCAGGGTCTCCTGGGTCCCTACCCATCATAGCTTTCTTCACTGAACTGTTCGGGGGTAGTACTGAGGATGCCCGTTGGTACCTCATCTGATCCACCCTGGGAGGTTCAGTTTTACTCCTCTCAGTCCCGGGCGTCACGTGAGTATGTGGAGTGTTGCTGGGTTTATTGACAGGTATGTGTAGCGTCTCTTTTACTGGGGCTTGAGTATTAACTATCGGGGCTCTATAGGCCTCGCTTACTCGTTTTCGGGCCTCCTCTTCCCGGACTTGACTCTGTATTATGAGGGTTTCGAGTTCCCTTACCCGCTCCTGTAGGTCATTCATAATGATGGAATTCTCATTTAGCTCTTCCTTAGCCCTGGCTCTGTATTGTCTCAGGTACAAATTTTGCAATTGGATCGACAACCGCTTGTTGTCGTCATCCCAAATATTGGCGAGGGATTCATCCGGGTCGTCTGAGTTAGGTTTACTCACCCCCGCTAGCTCCTCGTCCATACCAGACCATTTGTCCAACCAGTCACTAGGTATGTGGTTGTTGTTGTTTCCTAGTTTTTCACAAGGGTCAACATCTTTCCCTTTTAGCTTGGTAGGGATTCATTGTGCTGAATCTCCATACGAGGAGATGTTGGAAGGTTCGAGGACGGGGAATTCAGGTACTTCGCCTATATCTTCCTCGTCGTCAACCAGATCAGACCAGATGATCGGGCTTCGCATGTCACTGGTATGATTATTATTCTGACTCAATCTATTTATCGAGCTAAATAATATTGGTGAAGGTTGCCCAGCAACGCTTCCCAGTAGGGGAGATATACTCATGAATGTAGATCCCTCTCCCTCGTCACCCACATTTTCTAATGGGGTGCTCATTTCAACGGGGGCACCTAGTGCTCTATCCACGTTTTCATTGGTGAGCTGGTCGCTAGTAGGGGGTTCAGCCCACTGACTGTCTGACCACTCGACTCCAGTGACGGATGCATCATCACGAGTCCAGGAGCTTTCGACACCAAGTTTGAGAGCGCCGCCATCATCATCTCGCTCATTCCGTTGGGAAGAGGGACAACGGTAAGTCTTTTTTGGTGCACTTTTGGGGGGCATGATTGTTTTTAATGGTAATGAGAAAGGTTTTAAGGAGGGACATAGGTTCAGAGGGTGATCAGTCCTCTTCAACGGCGGCCGTAGTGGAGAATGAGTCTTTAGGAGTCGAGTTCAAAAATATGTGGCGTTTCAGAGAACGTTCACACGAGATGGAGTTGACTTCGGGGAGACTTAGGGAATCGGTCAAAGAGAACTGGCCGAACTAAGACTTTTATTCGGGGATGGGAAGGAAGGATCAACTGCCCTACAGTAACTAGAAGAGCTCATTTATATACTGTAGGGACTATATGAGTAGAACAAGGAGGAAGGATAAAGAATGAAATGGCTAGATGATGCCTTGTCACGCTAGTGGTAACAAAGGCTTTTGGTGAACGCTACATGATGTTAGCCTTCATGGATGATACCGCATTCATCATGATCACTAACAATTTCTCCACAGCTCACGATATGCTAGCAGATATGCTGGAACACCCAGGAGGAAGATACGAGTGGTCGAGAGAGCACAATTCAAGGTTTGAGACTAACAAATTTGTGCCAGAAATGCTCAGCAAGGTGGTGTACAGAAATGCCTGTAACACAGGTGTACAGGAAGATTGCTAGTTCTTCCTCTAGTGTTACATGCTTCAAGTCATTGATGACACCATCACAAAGTAATTGTAGTAGAACGACGAATATGTGGTGATGCACGCAGAGCTCACATCAAATCCGCTCTGGATGGCCATTCAGGAGTTTGTTGACCCAGCCAACTCCCATCAGGATTGAGGTGTGATAGGGTTGTTTGTTGTAGTAAGTATTGGTATATGCGTTCACAGTGACCCCCGCAATGTTGATAACTTCAGAAGCTGATGAGACCACACACTGAAAAAATATATGATGGGTTGGAGAAATTTTATATTGGATTGCTCTGCATCTTCAACACTCTCCTCCAAGTCCTCACTGGACTCATCTCCCTCATCTTCTTCACCTCCTTGGTCCTCTTCATCCCTCTCATGATCCCTTGAGTGTGAGGTCGTTGAATCCTCGTCATCGGTGTTGTCACAGTATAGCAAGAGGTGGGGAAGCATGGCCATGGTGTGCATATACTACACATGCATATTGATAACAACTGATCAGTGTGACATCAGTTTCAAGCTCTGATAAGGGCATGCTTACTTAACATTAGTGGTACTCAAAATTAAAAATTAGAAATGTTTGAAAGCTCGCTAAACTCTGACTAAGGCTTTTGACTCGTGGCTAGGTGGCTTCCAACACTTCGGCCAATGGGACTGCAATTGAAGGTCAGGCCGGCATCACTGGTGGAGTTTCAAACAACCATGCCTCCTTCTCTCCAATGTGTACGCTGTTCTGCATGCTTGAAAGCCAACCCTTTAGTGTGCCGCTCCAGGTCAATGGACAATGAGAGTCCAAACACTCGCGGACCAGCCAAACCCCCTCCAGAACAGCATGTACCCCACCTGACTATCCAGTGGCAGAGCGACTGCACTCTTACTGACATCCTCGTCAACCATCTCTCCATGCACAACCACTTGCAGAGCACTTTCTACTCTGACAGCAAGAAAGCGATGTCTGCCGTTGATGGCGGTGCCTCGGGCTCGGACAAGGGGCAGGTGTACGGTACCCTGGCCAAACTTATTTTCACTGACCACCTGAGGTATGGTTACGTGTACACCATCAACGCAAAGAAGTTTCATGACATAGTCTGCAACTGCATCCAAATGTTAGTTGTTTCCGTCTTTTCTTCCGTTCAAAAAAATACTAAAATTATGTAGACTTAGGGGGAAATACAAGAAACTCAAGGCATCTTTTGACAGTACTGGCACTGGTGTGATGCCTGGTGAAGGCACGCAAACGAAAAATCTTTTGGGTGAGTCCTTGTTCCTTATTTTCCGGTCCTTGGCTGATGTATTTTGTAGATGTGGCGCTCTTAGAGCTCCCATGGTATATGGAACTGGATGCCATTTGGCATTCCAATCCATCCATGGCCACAAAGACTCACTCATCAAGACCTGGCGTCGATCACGCTGGTGTGTTATATTCCTTGGTTCAACCACATGCTGGGGCTGGTCCCCCCGTGCACATTGATGCCAGCACTGGTCCCATGCAGTACCCTCAACCGCCTCCTCAAGTATATCTCCGCATGATATCCATCCTTCCAGCACTCCGCCCTCACATTATGGCCAGCACTACTATCCTCCAGCAATACCTTATGCTGGGGGTTCACGTGGTGATCCCTCCATCGATCCAACACTGCAACATCCTGCTCCTGCTCCCACATTATCCTCCGCTGCCCCTTTGCCTTCCGCTGGCCCTTTGCCCTCCGCTGCCCCCTTACCCTCCGCTGCCCCCTACAATCAGTCCCCTCAAATCCATCTCCTTGGCCTTCCAGCATCAGACAACGACATGGACATGGACTTTCAAGGCACTGGTGGCCCATTGGATGCCCCCCTCGAAGGTGATGAGAGGACCAATAGCTCTTCCAATGCCACTGGGAAGAAGCGACAACTTCCTTCATCGCCGTCTCCCCCTCCCGACATTCCTGATGCTCCTGAACCTTTCAACATGCCAGCAGCATCCCCATCGTCTGTCTACAACAGCCGCTCGGTGTTTGGCCTGAAGAAGCCACCGAGCCACGGTAGACACCGCAGGCTGCCATTGTATATCTCTTTCAGCACATCAGCGCCTTCATCCATGACACACAATACTACCTTGTCGTCGGACTAGCTGATGTCCTCAACCCCCCAGACTTTGCTTCCAAACAGTGCTGGTGGCTCGAAGAAGAAGAAAGCAAAGTTGGATGTGATGCAGCAGGTTGAGGAGGTGAAGGATGAGATAGTGTCTATGCAATCCGACACGATATTGTGCCACGATCACAAACAGCAACACTTTCTCGTGAAGCTTGAGGTGAAGACTGAACACAGCTGCAATATCAAGAAGTACAAGTACCTTCGCGCTGCCCATGAGGACGAGACCTTCCAGGCTACCGTCAACCATCAGTGTCTGCAGGAGTCAAAGGATAGCGAGATCCGCCTTCGCAAGACTGACATCCGAGTCTACGAAGCACATTTGTTGGTGCTCGACAAGGAGGTGAAGACTCTTTGACTCAAGATCCAGTTTCAGCATGGAGTTGAGTGAGTTCTCATTGTTGTTGTCTTGTTGTTGTCCTCTTGTTGCCATTGCTGTCTTGTTGCCGTTGCCGTCTTGTTCTCGTCATCGTCTCATTCTTGTTCTCGTTGTTGTCTTGTTGTCTTGTTGTCTTATTTGCTGTTGTTGTTTCCATTGGACATATGTGTTTTCAGTTTTGTTGCTACCTGCTGTGATTGAGTACATAGCTATATACATTTGTTGCACAAGTGTTTTAGTAGTATTACATCTTCAAAAACGCATTGATCATCCTTCCCTATGGTGTGCATCTGAGTGAGGACTGTTAAAAAGCTCATCCATCAACTTTGCATGAGCAGCTTGACTAGGAGTGCCATCATATGTCCTGTCACCAATTACTTCTTCACCATCTGGACCCTCAATCTCTTGACCAATGAAATCTTCCCCCTCCGTGTGAGCCCACTTTAGAGAACTCTTGTATGTTCCGTCTTCCTTGTGATGCTCAATTTCGAAGTGAATGATCATGTTGTGCAGGATGATGCAACACTTGTGCACAGCAAACTCGAGGTCTTTCTCAGCCTGATTTCTGAACTGTAGCTCTCGAAGGGACTGGAACTGTCCCTTCAAAACAGCAAATGTGTGTTCAACATGAACACGAATCTACATAAATGAAAATCAATTGAAAACCACTGAAAAAATGTACCTTAGAGCGGTGATAATTGAATGTCTTCTGGTCCCTTGTCAGCCGTCCATTGTGAGGCTTCTTGAAAGGGGCGATACACCATGGTTCCAATGGGTAAGCACTGTCTGCCCAAACCCAATGACCATCAGGCAGAAGATCAGTGTACTTGTCATAGAGGCGAGTGGATCGAAAAGCGAATGCATCATGGACACTCCCAGGATGACCAAGAGAGTAATCAACCATTAGGAGGTTATGGGGCAGGATGACTGCCTAGAATTAAATTAATTTTTGCACATGAAGATGAAGCACAAAAATGTTACCTGACAGCCAAGGGAATAATTGGACTTTCTATCATAAAATGTCTCACCATAATAACCAGGTTTTGTGAACAGATTCATAGTTGAACCATTGGTGGCTAGAAAGCCACCTTTCCATTCTGGACAAGTACATGACTTGGCAAATTTGCAAGCCAGGTCAGCATCCTCAGAATCACCTGCTGGGAAACAGATAAACTAATCATGGGCATCAAGCACCGCAATCATCACATGATTAGTGTAATTAACTACGGACCCAATACTCACACCTGCCCATTGAGCGACATCCTCAAGAGAAATGGAATTGCCATAGTGGCCTAGTGATATGCAGGGGTATGGGTAACCCGTGGGTTTTTGGAGGGTTTTTTGGAGGGTATGGGTAGGGGTACAAAATATTTAACCCGCAAAAAACCCATACCCATGGCGGGTAACCCGCATGTATTTGTATTACATATTGTAGAGCTTGATCAGGCAATTTCAACAGTGGTCTGATCATGCAAAACGGTTGAGATTTGAGCAAGATATGATCATTATAAGAAAAGGATGCAAAATGAAAGGACAGCTTATACATTAACCAGACCTCAAGTGTTTGACAAGATAATCAAGATAACACTAGCTTCAGATTAGACACCTGAATCATTTAACAACATTCACATTTTCCTTAACTATGCAATCCTATCTTGTAATGCTCATATCTTGCTCAAATCTTAACCATTTGACATGATCAAACCACCATTGAAATCGCCTGATCAAGCTCTACAATATGTACTACAAATACCCATGGGTTACCCGCGCAGAACACTATCTAAGTGGCCTGCCCAATTCGGAAAGATGGCGAGCTGGATGGAGACAGGGAGCTTGTCATATCCCATACCTGAACCTTCTCGTCCAGTCTGGTTCACCCC